TACTCACTCGCCCACCCCGTCATTCAATCACCCACCCGCTCATTCATTCATTCATTCACTCACCACACTGCAGGTCACAACAATACCCTCACCTCACCCACCCACCTACTCACTCGCCCACCCCATCATTCAATCACCCACCCGCTCATTCATTCATTCACTCACCACACTGCAGGTCACAACAATACCCTCACCTCACCCACCTACTCACTCGCCCACCCCGTCATTCACTCACTCACCCGCTCATTCATTCATTCACTCACCACACTGCAGGTCACAACAACACCCTCACCTCACAACGTATCGAACCTCTGCGGTTTGAAAAAATACATCCCAACATGCCCCCCTTGTCATTCGAAATTAATATCACAATACATCTAATAGGACCAACTCCCAAAGTCAGACCCATGCTTTGCTGTTTGCCGCTGTTGCTAAAATGACAAAGTTGACCATTACTGCAGCAAAAATAACTTTGACAAAACAATAAACCCGACGACACAGAGTGAGCCACTTTCAAGTTTGACGTGAACACTTTATCGCTCACCTTTTTTCTGTTTATTGGCCATACATAGATTTTAGACGCGCGTGCATCTTTTTTTTGATTGAGTGTATCGATCATCTTGTTCTGAGGTGTATTGGGTAATGTTCAAAATAATTGAATTTGCAGCACCCTTACTTTCGAGAAATGCTTGCAATTTGACTTACAGATTAGTCACGAACGCGTGAATCACACTGCAAGGGAAATTGTTTGCTCGGACCAACTCAAACGCTGTCTGTGTAAACGATGAGTAATGTCCTTCAGAAACACGTGCGTTCCAGCGGGAAAGACGTTGCTTTGACTTAAAACTTTTGTGACTGCAAGAATTCACATTCTTGGTTCTTTCGGTAAAATCACGTAAATAGAAAATACAATTAAAATTGAAAATAAATAAAAAATAAAAGCAAAAAACCCACGACGTTACGATCGCAACACAAGCGATCTTCATCATTGATGGCAACACAAGCGTGGTGGTTTTTTTTTGCTTTTATTGCTTTTATTTTTAGTTTATATTTTAATTTTATTTTTAGTTTCTATCTACGTGATTTTATCGAAAGAACCAAGAATACAAAGACGTTGCTTGTGCTTCACTTAAAGTTAAATTTTTTTTACTATTTTTTGCAAACATGTGCACGCGTCTCAAATTAAACCAATTAAAGAAGGTGCCCTCCTCGAGGGTTGCCCTAAAGAGCCGCTCTGAGAACACGTGGGAGTACCCACACTTTACCCCACCACACGTGACCTACCCATCGACGAACTGTGGTGTACTTGTTTCTGCTGCTGCGGGGACACAGGCGAGAAAAGTGGGGGGCGGTTGTCCAAATTTCAATATTTCTTCAACTGCCGTCCGTACGTATGTCAGTTGAACTTCTTTCGCACCGTACGTAGCCAACAGTGCGAATCGGAGGTGCGGGGGAAGGACAACAAACTAAACAATGTATCAATCTTTGATTTGAAGCTTTCGTGACTGCAGGAATCCATACTCTTTGGTTCTTTCGGTAAAAATTATTTTATTTTCATACCTACGTGACTTTACCGATATAATTTTATTTTATTTTTTATAACAAATAAAATTATTTTATTTTTATAAAAAATAAATTATTTTATTTTATTTTTATAAAAATAAAATAATTTTATTTTATTAGAAATAAAATAAAAGTATTTTTATACCTACGTGAAAATAAAGTATTTTTTTTATACCTACGTGACTTTACCGAAAGAACCAAAGAGTATAAACAACGTATGTATGTTCAACTTTTTTCTCACCATACGTAGCCAACCGTGCGGGAAAAATTGCCGCACCGGGCCAGTGAACCGTGTTTCTCCCCATGACACCACGGCATCATCGCGACCAGAAATTACTGCCACAATCACTCCAAAAGCAGCGTGAACAAAACACTGAAATACATCACGTAAGGTAGAATGTCAAAGGTGAGGTCATAAATCCGGTGAGTTAGAAGGGTAAATAAATTGCACGTTCGTAGCTCGCAAATCACCACACACCAGGTAACCATTCCAGCCTATGTCATAAAATTCTGGCTTAAAGTCACAAAACTCCTTTACGTGACATCACCTCAACAGGAGTCGCGAGGCTATATAGTACTACCTCAAGCAATGCCTTGTTGCCCACGGTCTGCTGGGCAAATACTATGTGGCGTGGTCAGCTTGTACCAACCACACCCAGCAACCCTGAAGCCGCACTCCACAGCGATTTCATTACCGGGCACTCGCATCTCTTCCCTGAGTGTCACACCTCTTGGGAGACACTTGGGGAAAGATCTCTTGGACACAAAAAAACACACAAAAAAATCACATTTATGAGCCACTTTAGAGGCAGTCCCAGAACAAAAACTGCAGTGGAAATCAAGTCCGAACGGTTACATTTTAATTTATTGCAACTGCCACTAATGAACTCAATGAGAAGCCGTTTGGACAAAAAAAACACAAAAAAATCACATTTATGAGCCACTTTAGAGGCAATCCCAGAACAAAAACTGCAGTGGAAATCAAGTCCGAACGGTTACATTTTAATTTATTGCAACTGCCACTAATGAACTCAATGAGAAGCCGTTTGGACAAAAAAAAACACAAAAAAATCACATTTATGAGCCACTTTAGAGGCAATCCCAGAACAAAAACTGCAGTGGAAATCAAGTCCGAACGGTTACATTTTAATTTATTGCAACTGCCACTAATGAACTCAATGAGAAGCCGTTTGGACAAAAAAAAAACACAAAAAAATGACATTTATGAGCCACTTTAGAGGCAGTCCCAGAACAAAAACTGCAGTGGAAATCAAGTCCGAACGGTTACATTTTAATTTATTGCAACTGCCACTAATGAACTCAATGAGAAGCTGTTTGGACAAAAATAAAAACACAAAAAATCACATTTATGAGCCACTTTAGAGGCAGTCCCAGAACAAAACTGCAGTGGAAATCAAGTCCGAACGGTTACATTTTAATTTATTGCAACTGCCACTAATGAACTCAATGAGAAGCTGTTTGTTTGCATGAGTGCCACTAATCTGAACGGTGGCACAAGTGGTGAGCGGCGTCACGCTCTCTGAGGCCGGCATCTTGAGTGTGATTCTGGCCCGCGGCTAACCTCTCTGAACAGGTCCCGGGCGGCAGCACTCACATCGAACGGTACCGATCCTTCATTTACACACAAGGTGTTCGTCACAAATGAACCACAACACTAGATTTGAAGCTTTCGTGACTGCAAGGATTCATACTCTTAGTTCTTTCGGTAAAGTCACGTAGGTAAAAAATGAAATCAAAATTAATAAAAAATAAAAAACAATAAAATCACCACGTTTCAGAGGCAACACAAGCTTCCGTCTTCAGGTGAAACTGTCACAGCAAAATATCTGTATCAATTAATTAATCAATTATTAATTTTGATTTCATTTTTTACCTACGTGACTTTGCCGAAAGAACTAAGAGTATGAACCACAACACCTTGCTCATCTTTTTTAGGAGCATAAGCCATCGCGTCAACGGCGGTCATCCTCGCAGCGATGGCTTTTGGCGAACCATCGAACAAAGACGGTCACTTGTGCGCTTTCAAAAGCACTTCTGCGGCCGTCAGGAACGCTCTTCCTTCTGATATTAGCAAGCCACTGGAGCTATGCACCTTAAAACCTACGTTTAAAACTAATTTCTTTAGAAGTGCTTTGTGTGTTTAGCTTGTTGTCCTTCCCCCGCGATGAAGAGCTTTTTTTTTTACCTTAGTCAAGAATTACTGTGGGCCGATGAAAATCGCACCTCCGATTAACATGGTTGACTACGTACGGCGCGAAAGAAGTTCAACATGCATACGAAACCAGTGTAGTGAAGTACTTTCAATCAAGCCGCATGACCAACAAGGCATGGGGTAGCATTCATCCAGCAGTGGATTAAGCAAGGCCTACATATGGCTTTTCCTAGGAGAGAATTCAATGCCCTACAATGGAAAAGAAGAGAGCTGTCTCACAATCCTGTACTGCTTTTTCACGTAATATAATTCCAAAGTAATAAGTATTGTGAGTTTCATACATACTCAAGGAATTTAAGATTATTCTGGCGAACAAATGATATCATTAGGAGCACAACTTGTAAAGTTAAAACAGTTTCAAACAAAAGGTGTTAGTCTTCTGTGACCATTACAGGCGCCGCGGTGGCGAGATGTTAACTGCCCCACGTGGTATATCGGAGGTCGTGGGTTCAATCCTGACCCTTACGCCTATATACTTGGAATTTTAATTTTCTCCCTGTGGTCGTGTGGTTTTTTCTCCGGGTTCTCCGTCTTTTCCCTCCACGTAACAAGCCACTAATTTGAGCTATATTTTGTGACCAGGTCGCTCTTGAAAAAAAATCTCTTTAGCTCAGTGGGCCTTACCTGGTAACATAAAAAGAGTTTATTTTTTTGTTTTATTCGTCCCACCTCTTCGGTGCCGCTATCTATTATACGTCTTCCGCACCTCTCCCTCCGTGTCAAAATCAACTCAATGTTTATTTGTTGCACAGAAAAATCACCGTTTAGCCAGTTACCCAGCTATTTTCGGTGACAAACGGACCTTCACAGCCGCTAGCAACAGAGTTATCGTCGGGGTGGAGAGGAATCCAGCCAGCAGCCAGCCGGAGGGCTTGAGGCCTACACACAATGGGAATGCACACCGCTGGCTTTGTAGATGACCGCTTCTCCTACAAATGCTCACGTGAGCAGAGCAGCATTAGGAAAGATGCCCTGTGCCTGTGCCTTTAACATGCAGTGGCTGTGACCTGGTTAATGATTGCTAATGGAGATGCCAGTAATGTGTTAGTGTCCTCTCTGCAAGGGGCTTGTCCACCGTGCTCCATAAAGTCGTGTTGACAGCAACCGCAGAGTTATATGTACATATATATAAATACATATTTTACAGCTCTGTTTATTTGTTCGTTTGGTAACTGTGTGGACACACGGCTGAGTTCAGCTGAGGAGTAATCGGCTCGTTGTCACAGTCCACTGAGCAGTGACGGGAGGAGAGGCTCTTTAGATAGAGGGGGTGAGGTAACATTTCTCTCCTAGGTTGGTTGATTTTGGCTGTTTAAGTTTGTTGAATGCAAGTTACTGGCCACGCACTGCGACCACGAGAGAGAAAGCGCAGAACAACGGCGGCGTGGCGTACAAGGTGATAGTTGCTTTTGTGTGCTTCTGTGCGCGCCCCAATGAACAATAAAGGATGGGGAAAAAGAAGATGTCTACTTTTGGTAAGTTGTCCACCGACTGTCTTTATTCAATTACTCACCAATGTTCATCGCGCTGGGATGTATCGCATTGCTATTTAAACTAATTTCTTTCGAACTGCTTTTTTGTGTTTTGTTTGTTGTCCTTCGCCCGCACCTCCCGATCAGTACGGTTGGCTACGTACGGTGCGAAAGAAGTTCTATATAAATATGTAATTATAAACGTATCACTTATAACTCTCGCTTGTGGTGAGATGTTAACTACTGCACCCGGTATACAAGAGGTCGTGGGTTAGATCCCGACCCGAATGCCTCTATATTTGGAGTTTGGAAGTTCTCCCCGTTGTCGTGTGAATCTTTTTCCGAGTTCTCCAGTTTTTCACTCAATATTTAGAATCAACATTCGTTCATAGCATTTGGCTTCTATACATTTTCAAATGATGAGCCACTTCGTTGAGCTATCATTTGTGGCATGCAGGTCGCTTCTGAAAAAGAGCTGTATACCTCAGTGGGCGTTATATGGTTAAATAAAAAGAGTTTAGTTTTTAGTCTTAGCTTGTCAAAGCAAGATGCTTTCAGGTGTTAACGTTTTGTTTTTAACACTGGCTTAGCGAAATGTCTCCAATAGCAAGCGTCCAGCAACAAAGATCACTACGGAAGGTGCAATAGATACGAGTTGCAATACATGTCTTGAATTTGAGGAAAGCTATTATTGTTATTCTAAAAGTTTTGTTTTAACACTTGCTTAGCGAAATATCTCCAATAGCAAGCGTCCAGCAACAAAGATCACTACTGAAGGTGCAATAGATACGAGTTGCAATACATGTCTTGAATTTGAGGAAGGCTATTATTGTTATTGTAAAAGTTTTGAACAAGGTGACGATTGGAGGGAATTCCCAAGACGATCCGTGCGAGGGAAGTAGTCCAAGGAGGAGTTGTTTTGACCTGCATGTAACCACGATAGTAGTAGCGATTTAAGAGTGACAAGGAGGCGACTGTAAGTACAATATATGTACTTTATATGTACAGTACACATCTTCTTGGTTCTTTCGGTAAAGTCATGTAGAAGGGAAATAAAAAAATAATAAAAAAATAAAACAGAATAAAATAATTATCACGACGTTTCGGCCACAACGCAAGCAGCCGTTCTCAGGTGAAGAACAGGTCTGTCGGAAAGACAGCGTTTAACTTCTTACGCACTGTACATAGCCAATTGTGCTAGGGGGACGGACAACAATTAACACACAAAAAGCAGTTGTCAATAAATGATTGTTCAATCTAGATGATGATAATGATGATGATTATTTGAAAGTGCATAGCTCCACAGTGGCTTCCTCGTCGGAAGGAAAAGAGCGTTCCAGACGGCCACAGAAGCGCATCTTAAAGCGCGCGATGCGTTAGTCAGGAGCCGCTGCTGCTGCTGAGAGGGTGGCCGTGAAGTGGATTGTAATCAACGCAAAGTGGTGTCTGCAAAGCGCAACGTTGAGAAAAATCGCGTGTGCGGAATGCGTTCGAGGTAATCCATCGTGACCCATTGGACATCATTCAGCTTAAGTGGGTTTAGTACCCCGGGAACATTGCGTACATCTTACCGTACTTCGTGTGCATGGATATCGGCTGGTGCCATGGTAGGGTTGTGAAACCGCTCAGCCAGCGCTCGGGACCACGAGCAGAGTTGGACACCAGATGACATGGGTGGGCAGAAACTGTTCATGTTTGCTATCTGCTGGCCTGTATATGCATGTTTTGAGTGACGTTTGAAATGTCAAGCTTCACAGCGTGGTTCATTGTCGCTTATACTATGGTGGCCAATACGGCTTCATCCTATGCCTATATAGGATGCAGAGATGCGTTGCGTCTCTGTTTGCCCAATGTGTATGAAATGTATGCATTTTGCACTGAACACGTTGGCTTTGTGGGGGTTACTCTCCAACACACCGGTGTTGCTGTACTAGTAACGAATTGGCATGTTTTGTTTACGTGACAAACCTTACTAATAGGCTGTGTCGGGTGGTGGCGGGTTTAACGACACATTTATATTGACGCGATCTAACCCGAACAACTCTGTTATGCATGTTGCATTGAGACAAAGATGGGAATGCCGTGGGTAAATATTATTTAGTTGTTGAAGGTATAAATTGTAAAGGTGTATCCCTGCAGTTACTTTCTCATGCTGCTGCTGGCAGAAGGACCTCCAACAGAGGGAGCTCTAGAAGGTCCCTCTCGGGGGTGATTGGTTTTTATAAGAGGCGGAAGTACCCAAACTTTGCCCCATCGCACGTGACCTGCCAATTTACTTGCGGTGAACCGAGGTACACTGCTTGATTTAAGAACGTATTTTTTTTTACAAAATCCAGTGGTGTTTCATCATACTTCACCACCCTCTGGACCGGATCAGACGCTACTCGCCACTGGTCTGAGTGGTGGACGAGAATCCAACTCAGGTTTCCAGGTTCATAGTGCACTGGACATCACAGATTCATTTGTCACGCGCTATCTGTTCTGTAGCGAGTATTCGACATCATACATCACATTGAATGTGAATTTAACTACAAAATAAGGCCGCAATTTCCATTCATGACGGATTCATTACATCGTACCATGAGGCATGATAATTGTACGAATCATACATGATGATTATTATTAGCGCTAGCGTATCATACGCTCAATATTTGGGCTATAAAACACTGACATTTAGAAAATGCCTGAAATCTAATGTTGCGACACTGATATCTATCTGTCACGGAACAATGGCTTTCATTTTACGGAGCGGCTAAATTATCAAAAGATTAATGTGTTACCCGAACGAAAATATAGAGCGACGGCTTGATCGATTCCAGTGTCATTTTGTTAGATACGCGACATTTCTCGCATTTAACACGCGTGCCTGTGTCAAAAGAGCCGGCTTCAAAAATGGATCATGCTATTGATGTTGTACTCTGAAGCAAAAGCGGCCTACAATCGCAATCTGTTCGCACGGGCCGGCTGATGTAACTACTTTGGTCCACATGCGGGGCACATTGCAAAACCACAAGGTCATCAAATCATTGTTTCAGTGGGTACTCACTTCCCCTGCGTGTTTTTGAGGGGACATACTACAAATTATTATTGGTTCTTTCGGTAAAGTCACGTAGATAGGAAAAAAAATGGGGAATTTTTTTTTTTGGATTGAATATAAGAAAAAAAAACCCAACACGTTTCGATCACAACACAAGCGGTCTTCATCAGGCTGACAGACTGATGGTGCAAGCCTCCAAATGCAACTGCTTATCAGGGTTTCCAAAGTGAGTGGGCAGGGGACGAGAGCTGGGAGGAGGAGTAGGAGAGCTTGTGCAGCGCAAACAGCACGGGCGGGGTAGCCAGTGAGCCAATGCTGATGTAGGAGTAGACAATGGGGGGGCTGGGAGGAGAAGAGATGCACTATGCCCCCCTCCCCCCTCGTGTTCAGTCAGGTTTCCACTCCTTCTCCCTCCTGGCTCTCCTCCATTGGAATAAACTCCCACATCAAACGGGCAACTTCACTCACCATTTTCCATACTCTTTGGTTCTTTCGGTCACACAAGTGACCGTCTTTCAGACCATCTTCAGACGGTCACTTGTGTTGCGATCGAAACGTCGTGATCTATTATTTTTCCTACCTACATGACTTTACCGAAAGAACCAAAGAGTATGGATTCCTGCAGTCACGAAAGCTTCAAATCCAGATTTCACCATTTTCCGTTCCTCCCTTAAGACTCTTTTTTTTTCAATAACGTATTCCTCTACTACTTCCTGTTCCCGTCCTCAAAACCTTAACCATCCTTCCCCTTCCTAACCTCGGCCCTCCCTTCCACTATCATCACCCTTCCTTGCCATCTGTTCCCCTTCTCAACACTCAAATCCCATCCCTTTTCCCCATAAGCCAATAACTAATTTCGAATTTTTTTTTCTTGTTATAGCGCTTTCACAAAAGCACGATATACAATCCTAGATAAGAAAATATCTGCCAGCGTGCCAGTTAAAACAATGGTGCAAGTTTATTACAGTTTAAATATGAACTAAACTATTCACAACGCGCATCACGTAGAGATCTTGGAGTCCCATCTGTTTGCCAACGTCTTCATCGGTGGCATCATCTCAGGACGAATCGCACGTTAGCTTTCGCTGGTACTTAAGACAGAGTAGAATTGGAAGTGGTCATGTCGCTCAGAGGTCATGGTCCCGGCCGATTACCGCCGAGGTCCTGGGTTTGAATCCAGGCGACGGCTACCTGTCGTTAAACTGAGTTCTAAAGTGTACTGGTAGTGAGTTGATGCGCTCAGCCAGCTCACCAATAACTGCATCATTAAAACCATCGAGTTAAACTTGTTATTGACTTAAGTTGGCTACATTTCAATTCTGAGAATCGCCGTCATGCGATGGACTTTGCTGTCACGGGGATTGCCGTGCAGGCAAGAGGTGACTTCGAAATGATCTCAGAGGCGGCTCTGTGACATCCCCTTTTGTTGGGCCGTTCTCGAACACGAAGGTTGTGACTGCATTACGGGATATCCAAGTGGATACTTTGTCTCGTGATATGATGCAGAGAGCAAAACATATGTACAATGACAAAAACATGTACAACAACTTCTCTCGATGCTTGAACAGAGAGCTTCATACTCAACGATGGCTATGCTCTTTGTTTTTTTCGGTAAAGTCACGTGGGTTAAAAGAAAACAAATACATTACATCACGACGTTTCGGAGGCAACACAAGCTTCCGTCTTCAGGTGGAACCGTCACAGAAAAATTACTGTATTTGCTGTGAGGGTTCGACCTGAAGACGGAAGCTTGTGTTGCATCCGAAACGTCGTGATTTAATTTAGTTGTTTTCTTTTAACCTACGTGACTTTGCCGAACAAAGCAAAGAGTATGGATCCTTGCAGTCACGAAAACTTCAAATCTAGAATGGATGGCTATGTTCTACAGCAAATGTCTACTGTAATCAGTATATTTCAAACGATTGATGAAAGTAGATAACACAAAATATATAGGTATAGATTTTAATTGACAAAAAACCAAGCAACCATAGGAAACCTATTATGTTGCGATTTAATTTGCGGGTCATTTAATTTTGGGGGATTTTTAGCTGAATCATTGACATTTGGTGGCCTACCCTTGTGAACAAATTATATTGGTGTTAACCAAAAGTCTTACAGCATAGGGCATGCATTGGTAAACTCAGTGGACTTTGTGCAAAGTGGCTTAATGATGCACGTATTGACCACTGGATCGTCCATCCATCCATCCATCCTGCTCGCTTTAAAAAATAAAAGTGCAAAATAAGTGATCCAATCTAATGTTTTTAAACTTCTTCTAGATTGAAAGTTTTCGTGACTGCAAGGATCCATACTCTGGCTCTTTCGGTAAAGTCACGTCGGTGAAAAAAGAAAAAAAGAAAAAATAGAAATAAATAAATTAAATCACGACGTTTTGATTGCAACACAAGCAATCATCATCAAGTGTGACAACCACAGCAATAAATGTTACTGAAGTGCGAGAGATGCCGGAGTCAAGGGGTTTATACTGGGCAGGGTGGGGGGGAAGTGAGCCGGGCTGCAAGTAACATGATGCGGTGCCAAGAGGTGCGCGGAGGGGGAGAGGAGGGAGATCGACGCATCTACAACGATTGCCGCCAAAACAGATGATGGCACTCTCAACAAAATAGCCACACTGCTGAACTTAGTTTAAACTTAGTTTAAACTTAGTTTAAACTTAGTTTAAACTTAGTTTTAGTTCACGAGCCACAGTCGTAAAAAGTTCCCGCGCACAAGAGGTAATTTCAACCTTGGGACGACTTTGGTCTATGTTTATTTCTAGCTAGTTCAGGTGGGACAGCATTGTCCCGTGAGCATGTTTATTGTAGCGCCACTGTGACGAGATGTTAACTACCTCGCCTGGTATACAGGATGTCGTGGATTCAATCCCGACCCTGACGCCTGTGTGTTTGGAGTTTGCATGTTGTCCTCGTGCTCGCGTGGATTTATTTCTGGGTCCTCTGGTTTTTTTCTTTCCACAGATTAACATGTGTTTAGAGTTTTTGGCAGCTATAAAAAATAATTTGTGGCCAGATCGTTTCTGAAAAAGAGCTATATAGCTGAGTGGGTCGCTGCTGGTAAAATTTAATTTACTTAAAAAAATGATGTTTTCATTGTGTGGGCAAGGTGCAGGTGGCAAGGCGTCGAATGGAGCCAGCAAAACCGCATTTCTAACGGGGGAAGAACACGACAGCGACAATGAAGGTGACCTCGTGGTTTGACTCAATTAATCCGCAAAACGAGCCGTTTTCTCTCTTTGCGCGCGTGCGAAATCGCCGAGCCGTTGCGATCGCATTCTCGGTGGGCGCGTGCACTTCTCGTAGCCCTCCGCTGCACTTAGTCCGTGGACAGTCATCGACGACGCGCGATGAAGTTTGTACGGTGCCACAGCTGCAGTGTGGGTTGTCACGAAGAACCCAACGGTGGTGGAGGTTGGCCGTACAAAAGAACAATCTTGCCCGTTCAAGCCACTCAACGGTTTGTCAAATTATTCAGTATTTTCTTCATGCTACTCGGATGTGAAAACTTCTACTACATCCTTTAACAATCGTAATCATCAGCAGCCATGTTCAAACCACAGCTGGATGAAGGACTCCCCCAGCCATCGACGCCTCTAATGAGCTTGCGATCATGAGATTCGGTGGACTAGCAACCACACACGACCTGATTGTGTCCCTCCATTCCTCGGCTGCCACTCCGTGATAATTTCTGCGGCCGTCTGGAACGCTCTTCCTTCCCATATTAAGAAGCCATTGGAGGTGTGCATTTTTAAATATAAATAGCATTTTTGTTGTCCTCCCCTCGCGCCTCTGATTGGCATGGTTGGTTAATTACGGTGCGAAAGAAGTTCAGCATACATACATACATACACACATGCATACTTGGACAATCGTCCATCATCCCCTTTAGCGACGCGCGCTGCTCAAGCCTACTCAATTGTCTTAACAATATGACTGGTGTCATTACCTTGTATTCTCGAAACCACGTGTTCATATTTATGCCTGTCAATGTAATTCCAAGATATACGATTATATCCTCTATACCATGCTTTTAGGGCACCACAGTGGCGAGATGTTAACTACCTCGCCTGATGTACAGGAGGTCGTGGGTGTGATCCCGACCCTGATGCCTGCATATTTGGGGTTTGCATGTTCTCCCCGTGGTTCCGTGGAATTTTCTCCGGATCCTCTGGTTTTTCCCCTCCACATTTGGAAACATTCTTTAAAGAGTATTGGGTTGCTATACATTTCCACGTGATAAGCCACTTCGTGGAGCTATCATTTGTGGCCAGGATACGTGTATGGAGTGAGGGCACACTGACTTCCCCCACAAGGATTGTCCACCTCAGGGCCATCAACAAAGATTAGCAGTGCTACATGTGAGCATGGATTTTTTGTTAGCATTTATTTTGAGCCTTTTCACGAATGGCCTAATTTCATAAGCCATGTTATCTCACGTTTAATTCATGAATAATTCAGCATTTTCTAATTAGTGTTATTATATAGCTGTAATGCTATCAAATGTCATGAATGTATTATATGACCAATCCCTTTAGAAATGTATTGAGAGACTGCATCGCCCCATTTCCCAGATTTAATCAATTTCATAAACCATTTTCGTTGAGGCTAAGCCTATTGGTCAAAAACAAGTTAACATTACATCCAAATGGATTTCTTCTTTAATATCAGTAGATCGACATTTATTTATATTTTCCGATATCACGCCGTTAACATGACTTTTTTCCATATTGGATATCGACCAGCGTCTAGTCTATGATTAGAGAATTAATAAAGTTCATGAGTATTCGGCGTGATTTTTTTTATTACTGCTTTTTTGGAATCTTTATTTCGCACAATTACAAACAAATTTCCTCACGACTGCAGCTGCTGCATTACGGTTTAATTAGACCCGTAAAACAACACGTGGTATGCCCAAATAATCCACAAAACACGAGCAATGTTAATGAAGAAACACCTTCTCATGCGATAGCAGCTGGTGTAACAGCTGGTGCCCAAAACACGAGGTCATGAGTTCAAATCCCAGCCAAGGACAAACTCAGCTAAATGATGCGTAACCACGTGGACTGTGAGCTTCCGACCGTGGGCATTGGTCCTCAACCATTATTTATTCTGGTGTGGGGGCTCTCCCCATCAAGACCCCCCACGCTCCAACGCCCTCTCGAACGAGGTGACTAAGCCCACAACGGAGAGAGATCACGTGTCCACGCCCTCTCGTCACGCAGTGTTCAAGTTCATTTATTAGGTATAGCCCTGTGAGCCATTCGGCTCTTGAATCGGGTGCAACCGCAACAAACAAAAAACTAAAACATGAACAAAAAACATCTTAAAGTGAATATGTGACTGAGTGCAAACAGAAAATCCAAGAAAAGACAGCAAAATATTGCAGAAAAAACACCGTACACCAACGCTGTGTGCAAAAATTCCAGTGAGATGCAAGTCAAACAACCAACAACAACCCAAAGACAACTTAGATTAAGGCCATCAGTCTAACTCTGTACTACAGCAAACAAACATTGCTAAACCAATACACTTTTCGAAATCACCAAAATAAAGCCATGAAACCAATGAAACAGTGATCATAGGAACTGTGACGGAATTTTCACAATAAATGGCATAAACAACATGTACTACCAAAAACCCTGCAGCCATAGCTGGCTGCATGAGTCACTCCACAACAGCAGGAGCATCAATCGGAGTATTATAATTTTTCAATGCACCTTTAAGATCAGCTCGGCGTTTATTTTCGTGCTCCACCTCCGTGCGTTTAGTGACCGCAATGTGACGTTGACGTTGCCCGCGCGTGTTTAAAAAATGTTTGTCCCGGTTCACAGGTTGAGAACCACTCCATACAATGTGGAGGAAGCATCGATTATTAATTGGCATACTGGTGCCTGTCATAAAAATGGTGGAAATTATATCACAATTCCCAATGATGACATCGTTATCATTGTGGGTTTTTTTTTTGCACATGTCATAACAATTGTCTCAATGCACAACAGCGCTCGTTTATACACCAGCTGCTCTTTAACTGTGCTTTAAATGCTGTGATTCATCGCTCCTCACAAATAAGGGGGGTGGGGGGGGAAGGCAGCGATTCGGATTTTAAATTAAAAAAATTAAGGGCACACCTGCCCCAGGCCTACGCATTCACTCCATCGACCGTGGTTTATAAGGCAGTGTTAATGACTTCCGTTGCGTAATGGTTTTAGCACAATGCGCTTGCCATCCATAGGTCGCCGGTTTAATTAGATTTCCGTGGCTGCGGCAGTTGAATCATTGGTGCAAGAGGGTTACCGCACGGTTGGTCTATCGGCAGGTCGCGTGTGCGGTGGGGTAAAGCGTGGGGAACTCACACCTCTTCCAAGACATCGGGGACAGCATGGAAGAGTGGACCAAAGAAAGCAACTCTTGAAGGGGGCTCTCTAGAGCTTGCATGAGCAGTGGAGTTAGCCGCTTAGGGCGCCACGGTGGCGAGATGTTAACTACCTCGCCTGGGATGCAGGAGATCGTGGGTTCGATCGTGACCCTGAGGACTGCTGTATATTTGGAGTTTGCGTGTACTCCCCGTGGTCGTGTGTATTTTTCTCCGGGTCCTCCGGTTTTTCGCTCCACAATTAGAAACACGCGTTGATGATATTTGGCTGTTAGACATTTCCACGAGATAAGCCACTAAGTTGAGCTATCAATTTGTGGCCAGGTGGCTTATGAAAAAGAGCTATGAAGTCCAATAAAAAAAATAGTTTAGTAGTTTTTTTTGTGTGGAACAAAGGTCGTGGAATGTTTTTGGTTTTTTTTGTTCACCACTGCCCAAATGCGTGCAGCCCCTTAGCTTTGAATTGGCCGCACAGAGGTTAATGTTAACGGGCACTTGTTATTTTTCTGCACTGACACCATGTCCTACTGTGAGGCATCATCCAGTATATCACTGCCCCTATTCATTCACCAGGCTCGTAGAATTGGTGTACTGTGGAGACAGATCAAATTTTTTACACGCTTTTATTTAACTCACTCTGTATGTTGTTGTCGTTTTTGTTGTCGTTGTCGTTGTATCCTCAAATATTGTAACTCAATTTTAACCCACTTGCCAATGTGGTATCGACTGCGAACTTGGTATACTTATGTCATACTGATGACAATACTATATTCTATCATAAAAAGTAAAATAAAACATTTTAAACATTATTTTTTACATGTTATGTTTCGGCTTGGATCAAATTGCCCACGGTAAACTGACGTTGGCTGTAATTGACCACGATCCCTAACGTTATGGCAAGTTTTGGGGTCACTTCCTGGAGTCATAGAGTTCTTCCATTACTAGTACGGTAAATTTCATTAAAGCGGGTTTTAAAAAAAGTTTTTTTAAATGTTACTTATCTTCTCAAAGTATCTACACGTCTCCCACCAATCTCAATTTGCGTATTAAAGCTATTACCTCTCTCCTCTCTTTAAGATACAGAGCCACCGCATGCACAATATCCAATCAGTCATTGAGATAACACTAAGAGGGGCATTGAAATGCAGTGGTGGGTGTGGGTGGGGGGGTACCTGTAAACGGATCACCCTGCATTGCATTTGATTAAGTGTGCAATGACCCTAACATTATATGGGGAAAATTGGATCCAATTTACGACGATGGGGGTTTTTTTTTAAAGGAATGCATTGTGACCTCGTAAAAGCGGGGACCGCCTGTAAATGCTGATCTCTGCCGCCTACCACGGGAATTTGGAATAATCACGACCAGCTCAGCGGAAAGTACCGAGGTGCCTCACCATTGTTCCAACCTTTATTCACGTGAGCAAGGCGCGATGTTGTTTCGTTTGTTTAAGGCAACGTCTTGGCGAAGGGCAGTGCTGGGACGCTAACAGTTGTCCGTAAAGCACCCAAAAAAATCGCCCACGAAAAGCATCTCTATGCTGCTTCGTGCATAATCGTAGTTTGTTGAATAGTGAACAAAAGAACCACAAATATATATTTCGATTTAAAGCGTTCGTGACTGCAGGGATTCATCTTCTTGGTTCTTTCGGTAAAGTCACGTAGAAGGGAAATAATAAAATAAGAAAAATAAAACATAATAAAATACAATTATCACGACGTTTCGGCCACAATGACGGCTGCTTGCTTTGTGGCCGAAACATCCTGAGAATTGTATTTTATTATGTTTTATTTTTATTATTTTATTATTTCCCTTCTACGTGACTTTACCGAAAGAACCAAGAACAAAAATACATATTTTTTTAACGTGAACACCTTAACACTCACACGCGTATCGGGTTACTTATTGCCATTGTGTGCCATTCGCAGTCAATCTATGCTCTTTGCTTGCTCGCATGAAGGTAATTTCCACAACGTTGTTTTGGACACAGAAAGGGCTATGATTGGCAATCTAATAATGTGGCCCTATTCATGCGGTGAATGCCACGAGACGCACGAATCATCATCACCATCAGTTACGATTTGTGCACTGTTTGATGAAGGCTTCCCCAAGGTAGTCACGGTCTTATAATGCAACGATCCGCGTGAAGACGAAATGAATTGGATGTTATACCTCCGTTGGCTGCAACTTCTTCATTAGCCTTGACAACCAGCGATCATTCCTTTGAGCGAAATGACCTGCCAAAGCCAATATGTGTAATCACTCCCAGGGTTTCCATAAATGTCTTTGCTTGTTCTGAATGGACAATAACATAATCAGACGGGGTAAATCACAGACAAACCAGAAACACATTAATCCATGCGAGGCATGCTGTGTGCAGAACAATACTCTCCTGATGGAGACATCTCTGCATTCAAACAGTAAACAATTTCAGAAGCGTCTCCCGGCTCAAACGAATGCCGGTGCTTTGGCCATCCTGAGACCTGCAGTGGAAATTGTACATTTCTATGACGGGGCCAGGTTATTAAAAAAAGAAAGGCACTGTTCATTTGTCAAAATTATGATGATGACAATAATAATCATAATGATAATTTCAGGCTTTTGTCAATCCACTGCTGGATGAAGGCCTCCCTGCGCCTTGTCAATCATGTTGATCATTAAAAAAACATGGTAATTAACCAAAAAAAGAAGCAAATAACTAACATTAAATTGGCGTGCTATTTTTAACAGTTGTCATTTTTTTCAAACTAGTTTAATTCTATTAGGTGTCGGCATTTGTTCACACGTCTGTGTAAATTGATGCAAGTAAATTATTATACAAGTAACCAACAGCCTGGTCTATATGAGCATGGTTTCCGAAACTTTTGTTCGAGGTGATACACTATTTTATTTTACCTGGTAAGGCCCACTGAGCTATGTAGCTCTTTTTCAGAAGAGACCTGGCCACGAATGAAAGTTCAACGAAGTGGCTTATCGTATTTAAATTTATATCAGCCAAATACCCTAATCCCATGTTTCTAAATGTGGAGAAAAAAACTGAAGGACCTGGAGAAAAATCCACGTGACCACGGGGAGAACATGCAAACACCAAATATACAGCAGACATCAGGCTCGGGATTGAACCCACGACCGCCTCTGTAGCTCAGTGGGCCTTACCTGGTAAAATAAAAAAAAATGTGTTTTAGTTTAGAATTGTTTTTTTTTATACACGCATAATCATTTAGTTATTTTTATAAAACCGGAACAAGGTCTTTCCCGGTGTCAAAAAACGTGTTTGGTTTGGGTATTCTTATTCTTCTTCTTCTTTTCTCAGCAGAGACAGAGCTGAGGGCACTGAGACAGAGCAGGAGGGCGCTGGAAGGAGCGCACCGAAGTTACGCTCGCGACAGTGAAGTTGCGATCAGCAGGCAGCAGTGAGTATCATCGTTGCAAACAGCCAAGCGAAAGCTTAAGCAGTGTGCTTTCGCTAAGTTGTCCCCACCAGAAGAAGGACGCTTGTGTTTTGCCCCCGAAACGTCGTGATTTAATTTATTTAAATGTTTTACCTACAAGACTTTACCTAAAAAACCAAAGAAGACAAAAACTACACTGTGTGTGAAGTGACTGCCACTCATTATTGGAACATGGATCAGAGGTCGCAACCGAGTACCCGGTTGCGACCTCTGATACCCGTATCCTACCCGATACCCGGCTACCCCGTACCCGGCCGGGTATGGGTAGCCGTTTGCCACCCTGGTGCGGCCGGGTACGGGTACGGGTAGGCCGTGAGTCACTGGTGAGTAACCGTTTGTCACTCATTTCGGGTAGGGTACGGGTAGGGAACGGGTACCCGTACCCGGCCAGGTATGGGTACGGGTACCCATTTGCGACCCTGGTGCGGCCGGATACGGGTACGGAATCAAAACCCGTTTGCGACCTCTGACGTGGATGTTCCACCACTGAGTCGAGACCACCAATATTCCGCGTAAACAAATGCATTCCATTTATTATTTGAGCAGAGTCCTTTGTTGCTTGAATAGTTTTTTTGTGCAACATAAATGATTAATAGGTTGCCACGGAAGTAACCTTGGTAAATCTATCGTGAAAACAAAACTGAAACTGACATTCAGGCCTTTGTTAATCTCCTGCTGGATGAAGGCCTCCCCAATACTGTGTTGCCATGGTACCGTTCAGCCGAGCTTAATAGCTCATCGGATTCCTCCAGTAGAAATACATATTCTGATTCGAGTTCAAATACCACTCGCAAAAGACAGGTTCGTTGTGCATTGCATGTCACCATTCACTTTAATACGCCACTGTCTGGTTTCAGCTGTTATTGTACATTTCGATTTAAAGCTTTCGTGACTGCAGGGATTCATTTTCTTGTTTATTTCGGTAAAGTCACGTGACTTTACCGAAAGAACCAAGAAGATGTTATTGTACACTTTGCATCACGATGCAACTGAAGAAAAATTACGTAAAACAATAGGCCATCGTTGCCATTCATGATGGATGTATCACATCGTACCAGGAGCCTTGATAATTGTAGTTCAGAGTTCATCAGGAACTTAACTTAGGCCTTGGCCGCTAATCAAACTCATTTAGCCAACGCGTCAACACTACTCTCCGAAAAAGTGAAATAAAAAATAAAATGTATTTAGCGGATGCTGCTGTGGTGTTGTTATTATCAGACTGGACTCGAATCCCCGCGCCCCTCCCCGCCCGTCCTCTATACACCCAACAAAATAAAGTGGTTCCCCGAAAAGTGATGCCCATCTCATCAACTCCCGGAGCGATCATGAACTGAGGAGGCAACCCCTACCAAAGGAATTTGAATCCGGCAACCCTAAGATTGTCAGCCGCTCGCTGCACCACTATGCTGCGTGAGGTGGGGGGGGGGGGCACAATTAAAGGTACCTTGATATCATTTGAACCTCATTTGTAAAAAAAAGGTGTCAGTTTTGTTGTCAGATAGAAGGGTAAAAAAACAATTATCATATTTTTTACTGGCAAATGAGGTTCCAATGGTGTTAATGCTTACCCCGAGCTCTCATACTCTGATGGTGCATTGTCTTTGAGTTGTGCGCCTTTTGGCGTCATCTGGTCCAACCCATGTGAGACTAGGCTCTAAGGAAAGCTGTCTCGGGTGTGAACCAATCAACTTCAAGGACAGTGCATACATTATCAGAGTTGTGTTTTTTGTTTGCATTATGACTGCAGGTATTGTGGTCTATGAAAACATGACTCCTTGTAAAAAAGGTGTCAGTTTTGTTGCCAGATAAAAGGGCAAAAAACCAATTATCGTACCTTGATATGTTTAATGATCCCAACCAAGTGTGTGCGTGTGTGCTGTGCGCGTGGGTTTGCTAACGCTTACGCTTGACTCGTGCGCAGGCAGCAGATCAGGCAGCTCGAGTTGGAGAGAGAGAACCTGAAGTTGGCGCTGGGCGTCGCGGAAGGGAGACAGTCGAAGGACCGCGCCACGTCCCTGCGGCGTGTCTCGCTGCTCCGCAAACAAGAAGACACGGAGGCTCTCATCGCTCAGGAGAAGGCCAGGCAGCAGCAGATTGACCGCCAAGTGAGTGGCATGACCCGCGTCGTTTTTGCCGTGTTGCGCTGGTTTGTGCTCAGCCCTTCGGATTTTGGTAGCTGAGTAATTTTCCACTCGGACTGAAGAAGAAAAAAGTGAAAAACACGGCACCACCTTTCACCCAGGCAACTCGAGAGCACGTGCTTAGTGTTTCTAACCTAATATTAAAACTAAAAATTAGAGAAATGTATCAGTTATGAGACAAACAGCATATATGATATTAAAAATAATAATAAAAATCTCATCAATGGTCCACTTACTATTCGGGACACTGTTCCAGTGCCCAGCCAGGCTATTAATATTTAATTTAAAACTCCGTGAGCACCGACTGAACGCTATGATAAAAACATATTCGCCATTTAAAAGCAGCAATTGAACACCATCGATCTGGGTGAGAGTACGGATCCCAGCAGGTGCAATGTGCCCTTTGAAATGGGGAATTTTGCTTCCCAAAAGTAAATCCATTGATCGGTGTCAATCAATGGCTTCCGCTGGAGGTGAAAGACCTGTTGAGAGTAATTACCCTTTGCGTGGGAAACCTGTGTTATTAAATAACAAGGAAAAAAGTCTGCGTCCTCCATATGCAATCATCCAACAGGAAGTGCTCACCACAATTGGTGAGCCTTGAGCCAGAGGCGGACACTTTCCACATTCCCAAGATGGGATGACATTAGCCAATTTTATCCATAAATTGATGACCACTGTTGACTTGCCACAAAGGTGGGTACAGGGACACCTCTACTTACGAACATTCGACTTACAACTTTCAGAGATACGAACAAACCCGTCCGTATGTCAAGTTGCCTGTTCGGAACGAGAGTCGTAAGTTCAACCACCGCACAATAGATGGCGGTGGTGGCATCTATATCTGCAGAACGTGAAGAACCAGTGGCATCTATATCTGCAGAACGTGAAGAACCAGTGGCATCTATATCTGCAGAACGTGAAGAACCAGTGGCATCTACAGGAGATGATACAACTTTTAAAGCCATTCCCCGTGTTTAGTGTACACGCCGTACAACATATTCGGAATCAACAGGGGTAAAGTTGGACTTACGAACAAATCGACTTACGAACAGACCTCTGGAACCTAACTAATGTGTAAGTCGACGAGTCCCTGTACTTATTTGATCAGCTGCAGGGATATGATCGACCGAGTTGACCCCCCCCCCCCACCTGCCTCCCCCACTGAGTATTTGAGCTCACGACCTTCTGATTACATTATCGAACACAATTTTTGTTCCTGAGTAGTAAGTCTTATTTCCTAATTGCTTATGCCTAAAAAGTATAGAAAATGGATATTATCCCCAATTAAAAAACGACCTTCAGCCAAACGCTATTTTAATAAAACACGAATCCAGAAGGCTCAGAGACAATGGATAACATTTTATTTCAATCAGTCTTTCGACATACTCAATTTCCTACTTAACATGACAATATATTTGTTTAAAGCTGTACAAACAAAAGGGCTATTGAATTCAATGGCAGTGTTTTGCTTTTATTCACATTGTAGTTTTAGTCATAATAGATGGTTCAATTTGAATGTGCAATGTAATCGAATGATGGTGTGTTGGCTCGGTCTGGGACTGTTGTTGTTGTTGTTGTTGATTTTCTACCGTGCCCTAGCTTCCATGTGGTGTTGACAAATCGGCAGGAAGTTATGTACCTGTACAATTTGTACTCCATTACTTAAATCGTATTTATTTCTTAATTTTTAGTAACTTGCTCACCTTTTTTCTATCTCATCCAGGAGAAATCCGATGCGCTACAAAGCTATTTTAGGGGCAGGTCAGAAAGTTACAACAGCAAACAATACACAAAAACACGACGAGAAGTGCAAAGTCTAGGAAAGGTAAGGAGGTCACTAAAAATAACTAACTACATAAAATAGATCAAATATATAAGTTGGTCCGGAAAAGAAAGGGGGTGAAACGTCAGACACCTCTGCCGAACAAATACAATCCCCGCGGCACATCGGGAGGCGATTCGCGCTCGCCTACGAATGTCCACGTTACAGCAGACGGTCTGCGTCTTGGCAACGGCCTGCCAGTAATTGTTGCTTTAATTGTCATATTTGAATTCAGCACGTAAAAATCCACAATGAGCAGCACATTTCAACTCTGATTGCAGACGACGTCTAAAATATTGTAGACCAGCGTAATCGCCGCGCGTGGTCGAAATGGAACGGTCGAGTTTGCGAATTTGCGGTGGCGCAAGGTGACGCCATTAACAGTTATTTTACTTCTTGGTTCTTTCGGTAAAGTCACGTAGAAGGGAAGTAATACAATAATAAAAATAAAACATAATGAAATAATTCTCACGACGTTTCTATTATGTTTCTATTATGTTTTTATTATGTTTTATTTTTATTATTGTATTACTTCCCTTCTACGTGACTTTACCGAAAGAACCAAGAAGATGAATCCCTGCAGTCACGAAAGCTTTAAATCGAAAAATGAACAGTTATTGTCACTCTTAATTTGCAATGTTTTGCACGGAGAGCGTCCCAGGAGCACGACAGAAGTTTCATTGTTTAGTTGTTATTTCGTTAAGAGGGGTTTATTAACGTTGTTCTCCCCTGGGGACAGCACCGCCACTGCTGTTCCCTCACTGTTCGCACACACACGCCCAATTAGTGCACATCTGTGTCTATGTCTGATGTCTAGAGCGGTGGTGTAGCGGTTAGCGCACTGCGCTACGAACCTGGCGACCGAGGTGCGATTCCCGCTCACGGCCAACACCAGTGACGATTATCTGAACCAATCCTGGGCCTCCACTAGGTCGACTCAGCCTTAAATGAGTATCTGGTGCGGTGTATGAACATCACCACTGTGGATACAAAGGCGGCCGGGCATGGTGCTGGCCACCCCCTCGTCTGCCGAGCCGGCCTTCACAGGTGCTCGCTAACAGCAATTGCCCCAGCAATATGTTGAGGCTAAACGGGGGATCTTTGTCTTTGTCTACACGTCCATGCACAGCTCGTTTGTCAGTCCACTGCTGGATAAGGGCCTGCCCATGCTGCGCTGGTCATGGGGACGTTGTTTGACCATACTTCACCACGCTGGTTAGTGTGTGTTGCCGAATACAGAGAGCGTAGACCTGGGAGCCTACAAGTACAGTACAACAATTGTTTTGCTGCACTTCCTGCAAAGTAGCCCCACACAGCAGCCTATAGCACCTGTTTCATGAGATAGAAATAAAAACAATGTACACTTGTTGTGGTCACCCATCTAAGCACTGTACATGCTGATGTGTGTTAAATGTCGTTAAAATAGCATTGTCAGTGCATCGCTGATCAGCCGCTTGACCCTGTGGCAGGGCGATTGACTCATATCATTCATCGGGTTGTGTGGATCCAATCATTCATCCCAGGTCAATTAAACTGGGCACCACTCTTCTTCTTGGTTCTTTCGGTAAAGTCACGTAGAAGGGAAATAATAAAATAATAATAATTCAACATAATAAAATAATCCTCACGACGTTTCGGCCACAACGCAAGCAGCCGTCCTCAGGTGAAGAATGAAAGACCACCAAGCCTGGAGCGCATATTTAAGCTGGGTTGGAGGGGGAAGAAGAGCGCCTTGATAAAAGAATTTGCATATCAATATGAATTTAGCATATTTATGGGAAAATGCGTAGGAGGTGGGCGGGGGGGGTTCAAAGTCATATTATGCCCGTGCATTATGCAGGATTAGCGGCATCAAAGGGAGGGGATGGGGGTAGCATTAACAAAGGGAAGGAATGTTAATAGTATGTAGCTGCAGTTACTAAACAACCACGTAAAAAACTAAAGTATAAACTACATAGTATCATCAGTATACTAAATATACTCTCCAATAAGCTGAGCACCACTCTGTTTGGAAGTGGACGGTGGTTGTGCTGTGGAAGGGGCTGGCCGCCGCCGCAGTGGGAATGTGGAATTTCCGCCCCTGGGTAGAGACCACGAACGGAGACGACAGCTGCTCCGAGATGGCTCTCACGTGGCGAGGTGTAGAGTAATACATCCATAGTTGTATTATAATCATCATACTTACCGCTTATGCAGTGCCTTTAATCATAACATCTCAAGGCACTTTATATCAATGACAATGGGGGGGGGGGGGGTGATAGGTAAGAAGTGGAAATGCTTTCTGAATAAGGAATGGGTTATAGACCGTCACTTGAAGAGCTCAGCCGAACCGGAATCTCTCCAGACGGTCCTCGGCAGATAATTCGACTGTTCAGGTGCCACGGAAGCAAAGGCCCGATCGCCCATGACGGATCTGAGCTTCCTTCTGGAGATGGGAGAGGAGATCTAGGTGCGCAGACCTCAGCGTTCGTGTTGGAACATAAGGGCGGCAGCCTCAACTCTAGAATGTATCCCTCGCGAAGTTGAGCTTCTTTCGCACCGTACGTAGCCAGCCATGCTCATCGGATGTGTGGGGAAGGACAACAAACTAGTTCTAAAGAAATTCGTTTTCAATCTAGATTTGAAAATGAATAGCTCCAGCAGCTTCTGAATATCGGAAGGAAGAACGTTCCAGACGGCCGCAGAACCACATCTGAAAGCGCGCAATGCGAGAATGACCAGAGTTTACGCTGATGGTTTAAGCTCCTTGACGAGATCAACAAGTTTCGATTTAAAGCTTTCGTGACTGCAGGGATTCATCTTCTTGTTTCTTTCGGTAAAGTCACGTAGAAGGGAAATAATAAAATAATAAAAATAAAACATAATAAATGCAAGCAGCCGTCCTCAGGTCATTCAGATGCTGTCTTTCTGACAGCCCTGTTCTTCACCTGAGGACGGCTGCTTGCGTTGTGGCCGAAACGTCGTGAGAATTGTATTTTATAAGTTTAATTTTAATTATTTTATTATTTCCCTTCTACGTGACTTTACCGAAAGAACCAAGAAGATGAGATCAACAAGGTATTGTGGTTCATTTGCGGTGAGCACTTTGTGTGTAATGAGTGCAGAATATACGAGGGCGCGAGATCATGCGTGCTTCGTGCTTTAAAACGACAGCAACCTAATACCTTACCCGCAAATGTGTGCCCTCCTTTCTAGATTAAAACAACGATGGAAGAAGTGCGCAAAGTGCAAAGGCCCACCGATGAAGAGGAGGACATGCCAAAGAAAATGCAAACTCTCACCTCACAGGTGGAAAAGGTACCCCGGGAATGTTATCATCCATCGTTTAAACGTCGCACAATCTCCGCCTACAACACCGAGACTTATTTATTTTATTGCCCTTAATTTGCCGGAATTGGTTTCCCAAAATAGTCAATTGGCACATAACCTCCAACTAAATATGTAGGCACGATGCACACTCGTGCATATGTAGAGATGTTAATAGAGCCACTATTGCGTGTGCACCATCTAGGGTCACAAGCCTGTAACTGTGTGTGTTGTGCCTCTCTCTGGCACCAGCGTGGGTATGACAGGGAAGCGGGCCCTAGATGGCAGGGTCCCGTTGACGGGCTGAGAGAGGGCACGTGACCGGCACGGCGTAGCGAGGGGGCCCAAAGGGGGCTTGAGGGACACGTGATGCTGGCTCCAGATCCTTCTGGAGAGATCCAGAAGGGGGCGTGGCAGGAGGTGGATCAAGGCCACGCTCGGCAGCACAAGAGGGAATGGCCCGAGAGCAATCGTTGCTGTCTTCTGGAATCAACTCGCCGTGCTACGATTTTCGTCGTCGGTCTTCGGTCGTCGCGCTCGGCATCGTGGGTCAGGCAGACGTTGCTGACCTGACCCGGTTATGTAGTGACCCCATTGGGGTCTAGTTAGCAACGTTGTACGTTTAGGGAGTTACCCTGTTGAGGTTGTTAAATAAACGTGGTGCCTCCGAATTCAAGTGCGTGCCTCCGTGGAACCCACTACACATACAAAGACGGTCACTGCATTGCGTGCCTTCAGATGCACTTCTGCGGTGGTCTGGAACGCTCTTCCTTCCAATATTAGGAAGCCATTGGAGCTATGCCCTTTTAAATATAAATTGAAAACTAGTTTTAATAGAACTGCTTTTTTTTATTAATTTGTTGTATTTCCCCCACAACTAGAATTAGCGCGGTTGTGAAAGAAGTTCAACATACAGACAAGAAAAATATCGGACATGATGCCTAATAAACTGTAAACGCATCAGAGAGCTCTGCAGCAGCACAACCGTACATATATTCACTTGCACAATTCTGTAAGTGCATATTTCACGGAACTTTGAAAAGGACACTTACACTGACATGGAAAATGCTTCCAATTCAAATCAGAGTTAAGGTTGACTCAACCTATCAATCTGTTGGGGTTGATAATAACAAAAATAGTACCACTTCTTGTCTTTTGTATCAATTCACGTCTGTGGAATTTTCAATGCCTCTGTGACTCAGGTGGTTGTTTCTCCTGTGCAGGCGGAGGGTAAGTTCAGCTCCTTGCTGACACACATCGCAGAGAGCCGCAAGGAGATCGAAACGATGAGATGGGAGAGGGACAGGTTTCACAAGGTCCTCCAGAAGCTGCAGAAGGCAGGTTTTGTGCGCCACACAAATGCAGCATAATATTATTCCATCATGGCCATAATCATCATCATGACCATCGTCATTATTGTCTTTATCATTATCATGGCCATAATTGTCATTTACATGGCCGCCATTATCATAATCATCCAATATATGGCCAATTCACAACACATCTCAATGTGCAACCTGAAAATAAATGTTTTGTGGAAGAAATATGATGAGCTCGCAATTTGCTAATTCATGGAGTGAAAAAAAAAATACAGCAAAAAATGTATTAAATATTTTAAAACATTAAAATAAGGAAGGCTTTTGAGACGACAAGTTTATATTACTAGGTTTAAAACAAATGAAATGGTAAAAATTAGTGTATAAACAATGAAGAAGTATCAACATATAATACTTTTAAATCTGAAAAGAGAAAAATAAAATGAGAAATTGGGTATAAAAATTTAAAATTAATGTGACTCAAGAAATTAATTTGAAACCCATCCCTAGACCTCACCTCTTTCCACTCATTGCTTCTTTGACCATCGAGATATCTCAATAAATAATCGCCACTTTTCTTGGCGTCGGCAGCCGATGTCCCAAATTAACGTGGTTTCCCTACACCTCTGCTTCAGAGGGAAGAAGCAGTGGCCCACACAAATTTTGGCAGGGTTTGCATTTCTGTAAATTACATTTTCAGCTGAAATTATTTCAACTTATCTTTCTGCACTGTGAAGCAAAATAAATGAACGGGTTTCTGACTATTGGTAGAAGCTATTCAATATTTATTGTTATCTAAATTTAATGCGTAGCGCCAGGGGCTATTTAACGAATACATAATATGGAGATTGTAATAGCAAAATGTAATGCTGAGTATTATATCAGCCCACAAAATAAAATTCATACACTGCTGTACTTGATTTTTTTTTTATATATATAATTCGCGAAAATGCCTCCCTTGGAAATAATACTTGTATATTGTAGAGTGTGTAAAATTAATGTTACAAAAGGATTGTTACTGCTACGGTTGCTTCACAGGAATTGGATGGGTTGAAGAGAGAGACATCAGCAAGGATGGATGCTGGCAAAGAAGTTTTCCAATCATGGTTTGATTTCAATATTTTCTTGGATCACTGAAATAATGCCGCAATAAATATTGCACCCACACACACACACATTGCGTGCTGTGACACAGTCAAGGGCAGTCGAATGAATCGGTTTATTTTTCCACGTACAGTACTTCAGAACGGCACATCGCACTATTTGACCAACTACTCTGTTTATGAACTTCTCAGTTCATGAAGCTGCCAAGTAAACACGTGACTTAGATTTGATCTCACAACCCAAAGATTGTGTGAGTCAAGTGCTCCAGTCACCACGCACTATTTGACCAAATAGTGTGACTCACACAATCTTTCGGTTGTGAGATCAAATTTAAGTCACGTGTTTACTCGGCAGCTTCATGAACTGAGAAGTTCCTAAACAGAGTGGTTCCTGAAGAAGCTCCCATCACGTTGAAGAACCACAATACCTCGCTGATCTCGTCAAGGAGGATAAACCATCATGCGAACTCTGGTCTTCCTCGCAGTAGCTTTTGGCTGGCCAGCAAACAAAGGCGGTCACCGCATCGCGAGCTTTCAGATGCGCTCCTACGGCCGTCTGGAACGCTCTTCCGTCCGATATTAGGAAGCCACTGAAGCTTTGCACTTTAAAAATCTAGATTGAAAAACTCACTTCTTTAAAATAGATTTTATATTTAATTTGTTGCCCTACCCCGTGCCTTCAATGTAGCACTGGCGTGAATTGCATTGGTGAACAGTTGGCAACTTTTTTTTATTTTATCACAGACCCAAAGGACCAATATGCACTATTCTAAGGTGTAACAGATAAGAGTAAATACGTTTCTTGAATCGGGCGAGGTTATTAGTACTCGAGCAAGGAGATTATGAGAGATAATCCCAAGGTTGAGCCGTGCGAGGGAAGAAGAAGAGGCAGAATTATTGGCACATTCAGTTTGGTGAGTGAGTGAGCGAGTAGGTGAGTGAATGAGTGAGTGAGAGGGTGAGTGGGCGAGTGGGCGAGTGAGAGGGTGGGGACCGGCAGTGCAGCGGTTAGCGCACAGCGATACAAGGCCGGCGACCCGAGTTCAATTCCCGCTCACGGCCAACGCCAGTGACGATTATCTGAACCGGTTCTGCGCCTTCCCTAGGTCGACTCAGCCTCCAATGAGTACCCGGGGTGATGTGTTCACATCACCACCGGTGAGACAAAGGCGGCCGAGCGTTGTTGCTGGCCAATCACCCCCTCGTGTGCCGTGCCAGCCTCCATAGGTGCTCGCTAACAGCACTTGCCCCAAAACTCTGTTAAGGCGATGGGAAGATCTTTGTCTTTGAATGATTGAGTAAGTGAGTGAGTAGATGGGTGGGTGGGTGAGGTGTGTTGTCGTGACTTGCAGATCGGTGGTTGAAACAGTGTGGATGAAACAAAACAGTCAGTCTGGATGAATGATTCCTCACCATTTGGTAGGGAAATCAACGAGGTGAAGTTCATGGGAGCAGCAACAACATGGGCAGTGATAAACGAGCGATAAGGAAGCGTATGTAAACAGAGAGCGCAGATACGGCGTGGTGGTTAAACCGCGGTGCGGATGGGATGACACAGTGAGTCTGGTGGAGACCACGTCCTCAACATGTGTGGAGGATTCGACGAGGTGAAGTTCACGGGAATGGTAACCACGATAGCGGGAGGAGGAGCGAGGGTAATAGGGCGCCACGGTGGCGAGATGTTAACTCGCTCGCCTGGGTACGCGCCAGGTCATGATGGCTTCGATCCCGATCCTGACGCCTGTATATTTGGAGTTTCTACGTTCTCCCTGTGGTCGCGTGGATGTTTTTTCTCCGAGTCCTCCAGTTTTTCCCTCCACATTTTAGAATCAACATACGTTTAGAGTATGTGGCCGCTATATATTTCCACTTGATTAACCGCTTTGTTGAGCTGCGATTTGGGGCGACCCAGGTCGCTTCTGTAAAAGAAATACACAGCTCTCAGTCGGGGCTGTACCTGGTAAAATTAAAGTAAAAGTTGAATGTTTTTTTAATAGCTAGCAGCGATAGACGAGTGATAGGGATGGCGACTGCAAAAGCAGTGTGGCCGAAACAATCGGACCGTTCCGCCAAAACCTAGCGGGCGCCCACTTCGCACGTCCCGGTAGCAGCAGCAGCAGTAGCAACAGCCAGTGGTGACGCAGGGCGCTGTCGCCTTGTGCAGGCGGGAGGCGACGGAGGAGCTGGATCGGCGCCGTCGGAGCGCCGCCGTCGAGAGGGAGCGCCGGGAGGGGCAGCAGCGCGAGCAGAGCCGGGGAGCCGACGCCGCGAGCCGTCTCGACGCCTTCCTCCTGGACAAGAACAAGAGGCGGCAGGCGGACGAGCTGTGGCTGCGCGCGCGCAGCAAGCGAGGTGCCTCCAACGTCCCGATCACGGGGCGCCTAAGTAGCGAGATGTTAACTACCTTGTCGGGTATACAGGAGGTCCATAATATAGGTTTTTGGGTCAGATCGCGTTATTTATAAATGTGTCGTAACCCTCCACCACCCGACACGGCCAAACAGTAAAAAAAAGTGTTACTTTTTCAAAGGACAAAATAATTCACATCTTTAGCCCACCGGTGTGCTGAAGAGAGAATCAACAGCATTTTTAAATTTGAGCACGACGTTTCGCTGATAATTACAATCAGCTTCATCGGGTGGTGGAGGGTTATGACATTTATAAATAACGCGATCTGACCCAAAAACCTATATTATGAATAATATTGGTCGCGAAAGCCTACGTGTTATACAGGAGGTCGCGGGTTCGATGCTGACCCCTAACACCTGTTGTATATTTGGAGTTTGCATCTCTGCCTCTCTCTCTCTTTCCATGGTCGAGTGGATTTTTTCTCCGGGTCCTCCATTTTTTTTTCCCTCCACGTGCGTTTAGAGTATATGGTTGCTATAAATGTCGACACGATAAAGCCACTTCGTTGGCCTATAATCTGTGGTCCAGGTCGCTTCTGGGCCTTACCTGGTAAAATAGAAAAAAATGCACTTTAATAGAAAACACTCACGTTACTTGTGTAATGCGGGCGTAAATGGGCGGGGCGGATATGACGATCCGAGAGGGAGGAGTCAGGGTGACGTGGGGGAGAAGTTATAGCGGGGAGACAGGAAGCTATCTGGGTCAGTCGGGGGAGTGAAGGGTGGTGAACACGTTGGGTGGTCGCCGTGCCTCAGCCTGGTGGCTGAGGGGCTCATGACGGCGCCAGCCAGCGGGGTGGAAGAGAGAGTGGAGGATTGAGGTAGGAAATGGCGAGATAGCCATAGAGGCCACGAAGGGCTGACATTGGGAGGTGGCGAGATCGCCACGCACGGAGGAACAGGGAGCAGAGATGGAGCTGCTGGGGGAGCAGCCAGAGGGCTGTACCAAGAGCCTGCAGCGGAGCTGCAGGAGCGTGGAAGGCTACGGGAGCGAAGGCAGATGTGGGGCTGCCAGGGAGAGAGTCTCAGGAGGAGTGCCGTGTGGGAAGGAGAACGCGAACCCCAAATAAAGGACACGGAGTCAGTAAGAAGTGTCTAAGTCCTTTTATTACACTTGTGACAGGAGAAGCTTCTCTCCACCGCGACCCTACCTCGACACGCGGGAGCCATAGAAGCCGCGACGATTTCTATCGTCCACGTCCCTGTTCTCACAATTAGCCCACGATTATCCACGGGTTTATTTTTAAATCCTTTATATTAAGTTCACTTGCTTGCTTGCTTGCGCGCTTACGACCGTGCAAATCTTTCGGTCGTTTTTAACCCACTTCCCGTGATTCAATCGAGCTGACATTTTGCACACATACTCGTTGTGCGTGACAATGTATTTTCCAAAATGTTCAACATTTTAGGGAAAAAAAATAATATTTAATTACCAATTGCTTAATGGTGGCAGGCAATCATCTGACCCATAGGTGGCAGCCATCTCAAGCCAGAGGACGAGAGGACTATAGCCGCCCGAAAACCGATGCCACGCATATAAAGGATTTATAGCGAAAAACTTTGTTTTTACGGGTTAATTTTTTGTTGCTTCTCTCTGGCTCTCTCCGTCAGATACGATGGAATAACCCCGTGGGTAATGAATGAGGCTTGCGAATACGCGCCTCTCCTGTACAAATAACACGCCAAGGGGGCAGCAGCGTGCGTGGATTGGAGTGGGCCGCTGATTCCTGTTTGCAGCCCAGCCTGGGGTCAACGTCGGCAGTTGAACAATCGTACTCGTAACGAAAACACGTCGCAAGTCTAGCTCGCAAAAAGCGACGTGTATCAATGAAGGGCATCATCCGGCCAATGAATGCAAGTGTGTATGTTTGTGTGTTGAACTTCTTTCGCACCGTACGTATCCAACCGTGCTCATCGGAGGTGCTGAGGAAGGGGAGCAAACTTGACACAAAATCAGTTCTCAAGAAATTAGTTTTCGAATGACGATTCTGTGAATAGGAACAAAGCAGAACTGATCATGTAACATCACGAGATGCCACCCACTTTCTCCGATCACTTTGTTTTACTTCTACTGCTCCGTAAGATGTTCCTCGTCATGCTGCGAATCTCTCCGCAGCGCGTGTTGTTCAGGACGCCGTCCGACGTTTCGCCGCCGTGTACCAGGAGCCTCCTTCAGGAACCGAATCATTCGGTCCTGGGGGAGCGAAACGTCGGGTTGTCTGTACCGAAAGGACACGTGATCACGACCCCGAGCACGAACGCGTTCCGATAACTGCCTGGGGTTGTTCATTTCCTTCGCTCGCAGAGAGCTCGCTGCAAAGGCAAAGGGCCGAGGGCTTCGAGACGCTGTGCGAGTACGAGGCGGCGGTGGCACAAGTCGGCAAAATCATCGCGGAGAGAGAGGCCCACGAGGACGTCGCAAAAACAGGTGGTGAGGCCAACGTGAAACTGGCCGGTGTGTCCGTGGACAAGCCGAGGGACGGCCCGTTTCCAGGTACGCGCACGTCGAAGCCGACCGCTAGGGAGTCGCAAGTGTTTTATGGCGCGCATGTGTCGGATAATTGCCACTGAGCTATCCAGCTCTTATTCAGAAGCGACCTGGCCATGAATAATAGCTCAATGAAATGGCTTATCGTGTGGAAATGTATAGCAGCCATGTACTTTAAACGCACGTTTCTAAATGTGGAGGGGAAAACCGGAGGACCCGGAGAAAAATCCATGTAACCACGGTAGAGAGAAAGGCAAACTCCAAATGAACAGCAGGCATCAGGGTCGGGATCGAACCCATGACCCTCCTGTACACCAGGCGAGATGGTTAACATCTCGCCACCGCGGCGCCGCAACACATCGCTGCTGCGCGTACACATCGCAGCCATTCCGCGCAAGGCAACGACAGCTCGCGAAGATGGAAAGGCGATCGCGCTTGTGCTCGACTCGTGGCCTGGGGCTGGGAAACCCACGCTGGGCCCTCGCAGACGGGGAGGATGCCTTCACGCGGAGCGTTGTTGCGTTGCGTCACGGTCGGTCTGCTTGCGACCGTCGGTCCCAGGCGGCGTCGCCGTCCGTCGTCGCGGCAGCGTGGCGCCGGTCCACGGTGGCCCCACGCCGGTTCGCCGCCGCGCCAGCGTCATGCTGACGGAGCCGGCCCAGGGCTCGACCCCGCTCAGCCTGGGCGAGGAAGCAAGAGGGCCCCCGGCGCGTGCCAGGCACCACCGCAATGGCAGGGCCTCCTGGAGCAACGATCTCCGCCTGAACGCGGACTTCATCCACGACACCTACGTGGACAGTAAGAGGCCCGCTTGCAGTGCTGGTTGTTATGCGTTTGTGTTTTTTTTTTCCACTGGTACAACCGAGCCGTGCTGGGGCCGTTCAGAGCCAGCCTGGTGTGGTTCAGGAGTCGCCAGGCTCGTGGTGAGTTTGTGGGAACGGAAGTGAGACACGGGGTAATTTGCAACTCTTTTGGAGTAGTCGAATTCCACAACGGGCGTTGGGATTGTAGTCATGGGTTATGAGTCGCTACCGCGTTCCACGACACAAACACTGCGATTGCATTGTCTGGTTTCACAAGTGTTAAAGACTCAATGCTGAATCAATAAAGTTTTAATTAGAAATCCTTCGTCTGCAAATGTTAAACTGCAATCCTGTATCTTTAGCCATTATTCCCTGGATGCCCGTTCTGTTTAGTGCCGCGTTCATCAAAATGTTTTTTTTCTTTCAGGAGAGAATGCCAACTTCGCTCTCTTCAACTACGTGACAGAACAGGAATGTGAAATTCGAAAACTTAAGGATGACATTGAAAAGGTTTGTATGGGAGAGGTTAAATATATATTATTAACACTAGCAAATTCTTAAGATTAAATACTCAGAATAACTGGCTTTAAAAGCTACTAAAATACTTTTTAAAACAAAATAACATGCTGTTTAATTAGCAATGTAGAAATGGATTTGTAATAAATAAAAATTGTCTACGATCATGATATACCTTCATCTATTTCATAAATATATAATTCTGTCATCCAAATAAATATTTGATTTCTAAGTATTGTTAACACTCTCTTAATACAGTTTAAAAGTGCAGAGTTTGGGTTTTATTTGGACGCAATTGCATAGTTCAGTTTGTGAGCGTAATTCAATTCTGAACTAAATTTGATTCCTTGAAACTGATTTGGGATGGCCATTCCACCTGATTCGTATAGATAAACATGCAACCCTGCAATTGCTCAATAACGGTGGACATTTGTGACGATGTGTGACGAGGGGAAGGGGGGGGGGGGTTTGAGAAAGGTGACGTCACATCAAAATGGGCAACTTTAAATAAATATAGATTTGTTATAACAACACTCCTACAACATCAGAGTGCAGCGCCACATTAAATACAATAGTTTAAAGCGATTTGAAGCATGTTTTATTTTCAAAATGGAAATATGTTTTAGGGGGGGGCAGAGCTTTGTGACGTCATATTTAAGGGGAGGTCTGACTTTTTGTGACGTCGTGTGACGAGGGGGGGGGGGAGGTCAAAAATCCCAAATCGCGTGACGTCATTTATGGACGGCCCCTCAACGTCACGCGTTTAGACTAGTTGGTTGCTCTAAATATCCGCGTCATAAGCCACTTCGTTGAGCTATCATTCGTGTGCAGGTCGCTTTTGGAAAAGAGCTGTATAGCTCAGTGGGCCTTACCTGGTAAAATAAAAACATCGTTTCGTTTTAGTTTAGTATCAGGAGATCAATTTGGCGACCTCCGACATGTCAGTCGTGTGCACAACCACAGCAGCATGGCAGCAGATGGGGGCCTACAATTGAATTACGCAAAGCCGCATCGGAACAAAGTTTATCAGCTACAGATTAACCGAGTTTATCATTATTACTAACACATTTACCTTCAATATGTGTAACCCATCTACTGATAATATGTATATCATATTTGTATTATTTGTCACAAACTACTACTTCTGCTCCATTAACTTCCATATGCGGGATCTTATTCGAGAAGTCTCTTGAAATAATGAAATATAATGGTAAATCAGGGGTGTGTGCTGAGCTATGAATCCAGCCACCTGAGTTCTATTTCCAGCTATGGCTAGCATCGGTGGTGAGTGAGATCAGAATTGGTCGTTCCCTGCCATCGTCCTCACGAACCTGTACTCACCAGTGTGGTGAAGTATGGTCAAAGACATTCGCGTGGATGGCCCAGCATGAGGAGGACATTTCTATCGGTGGATTGGGAATGGCTGGAATTTATTTCCAGTGCTATGTCGGCTCCTCCGATTAGCGCGGTTGACAAAGTACGGTGCGAAAGAAGTTCAACATTCATACAAAATTCGTATCCTAAATCTATCTCCGACTTCTTTTTCATGTATATACCAGATCGAAAAGCTGCAAAGAACCATTTAGCAGAAGATAAAGTGACATTACGCACACTTTGAATGCTCGTGCAGCAACCGTAATTATTATTCCACACAGGACTACACATTTCAGTCCACCATATCGACGGGCAGCTTCACACAGAGCACGCGGTACTGAAGAGTTCACCGCACACACCTATGCATTCACACCTCAATTGGCTCGCGGCTTGTAATTACTCGTGCTGGTAGGCAAGGCGTGCTGTGGGACGTTTGTTTTCCCAAACCCCGATCCCTCTCCTGCTGTTTCTCTGCATTCCTTGCTTCTCGTAGCCTGCCAAACCCATGCATTGGCATTCTATGCCATCCTCATTGCACCGCGTTTACAAGCGTGGCGACAGTGAAGCATTCAACGTGCAGTAATTAGGTTCCTAAATTGACGTATTAAATCAATCTTCATTTGAAGCTTTCGTGACTGCAGAAATCCATACTCGTTGCTTCTTTGGGTAAAGTCACGGAGGTAGAAAATAAAATAAAAATAATGTCGCTGGATTTTTTTGCCGTTATATATTTTTTGTAACTTTCAAGATGTGTATAAATGTTTCTCTGCGTGGATTTTTTTGCCGTTATATATTTTTTGTAACTTTCTAGATGTGTATAAATGTTTCTCTGCGTGGATTTATTTTCGCGGTTGTGCTGCTGGTGGAGCTCTCCGACGTGCTGCCTGCGAGTTGTACGATGTCGGACGTTTCACTCCACATGCTGGAACTGTCTTCCGGGCATCGTGGCAAACAACGCACGCAATGCACCGGAGCTATGAGAATGTTTTTATTTTATTGTTAACCCATGAGAAGTTCTAGAATGTTTCAAGAGGGTCCTCTATTAGAATGTTTTGCCAGTATTTACAATACATATGAATACACTTCGTTGATCTATGAAAGCCTCAGTTAACCGTGAAGACTCATTTTAAGGAGGATGTTGCGCTGGGATTTTGGAGATGAAACAATTCCATTTCGAGTTTTGGATATCAGGATATAATCACGCAAAGCTCCACACAGGTAGATCGATACTACTTGCTCAACTGCCATTTTCCCAAGGCACGTCAGCCCGGCGGGTTTGGGAGCTCCACAAATGTGTCTGATCCGCGAACCGTCGCCTCCGAAGCGCTCGACGCACGACGGGGCCTGGAGAAATCCCACACATATGAGAGCTTTTATAGCGGACAAAGAGATTCGCAACGTACATCTGCAATCTCTTCGATTGCAAGTAAAAAAAGAACAAAGTGGGTGATTGACGGTGCCATCTCTTTGTCATCAACAATTGCTTTTAGTTACTTGGTTGTACGCACGCATCAACGCCGCTCTGTAGCGTTGTGGGGGTCTGGCGGGAGCTGAGACCCCCCCCCCCCACCCCCCCAACATTCTAAACTCTTATGATCAAAGAGGGGGGCTCACATTATGAGTACAATATTTTTTCAATGTTTTCACGCAATTACAATTGATCCTACTCTTTGGTTATTTCGGTAAAGTCACGTATAAAGATAAAATAATAGATTAAATAATAGCATATGACGTTTCGATTGCAAAACAAGCAATCATCATCAGGTATAAATGAAATAGCAACAAAAATCTAACCAGAAAACTATAGACAGACATATAAGCAGACATATCACCAAGATACATAGAGAGAGAGTAACACAGACACAGAGAGGGAGATCGTCTCTGTGGCGAAGCCTTAAATAGACAGAGGGGGGGGGGCGGGGGCGGAGAGAGGGAGGGGTTAGAGAAAAACAATTTACATGTCAATGAGTGCGGCGACGCGTGGTCAATTACGCAAGCTTGAACATTAGGAAAGAGGGAGAAAGAACACACTAAATTAAATAACCTCGCAAAATATCTAAATGTTATGTAATACAACACAGAGAGTACAATTGATCTGCCACAGTGCCCTTCGTCTAGTTTGCGAGCTTCATGATGGTGATGTATGTGTAGTGCTCGACTTGACACGACAGCTTCTTGTCTTTCCTCTTTCACTTTATTTCGCGCATACCGATCAACACTCCTTCAGCTAACACCCATTAACATTTCTCCTCCGCGCTCTCCGCTCGCTCGCCGCGTTCCGCCGGCCTCACTCGCTCCCCATCACTCCTCCGTCGACTCTCCTCTCCGCTCTCTCCGCCGCAGTTCAGTCGCTCTTTATCGGCTCCACCGTCACACTCTGTCGTAACTACATCAGCTTCTCTTCCCACACTCCAGCCGCTTTCTACTGGCTTCGTCGTCTCACTGCTACCCTACACTTCTCCACTGCTACCCTACACTTCTCCACTGCTACCCTACACTTCTCCACTGCTACCCTACACTTCTCCACTGCTACCCTACACTTCTCCACTGCGACCCTACACTTCTCCACTGCTACCCTACACTTCTCCACTGCTACCTTACGCTTCTCCACTGCTACCCTACACTTCTCCACTGCTACCCTACACTTCTCCACTGCTACCCTACACTTCTCCACTGCTACCTTACGCTTCTCCACTGCTACCTTACGCTTCTCCACTGCTACCCTACACTTTTCCATTGCTACCCTACACTTCTCCACTGCTACCCTACACTTCTCCACTGCTACCTTACACTTCTCCACTGCTACCCTACACTTCTCCACTGCTACCCTACACTTCTCCACTGCTACCCTACACTTCTCCACTGCTACCCTACACTTCTCCACTGCTACCTTACGCTTCTCCACTGCTACCTTACGCTTCTCCACTGCTACCCTACACTTCTCCACTGCGACCCTACACTCTCCACTGCTACCCTACACTTCTCCACTGCTACCCTACACTTCTCCACTGCTACCCTACACTTCTCCACTGCGACCCTACACTTCTCCACTGCGACCCTACACTCTCCACTGCTACCCTACACTTCTCCACTGCGACCCTACACTTCTCCACTGCTACCCTACACTTCTCCACTGCTACCCTACACTTCTCCACTGCGACCCTACACTCTCCACTGCTACCCTACACTTCTCCACTGCGACCCTACACTTCTCCACTGCTACCCTACACTTCTCCACTGCTACCCTACACTTCTCCACTGCGACCCTACACTCTCCACTGCTACCCTACACTTTTCCATTGCTACCCTACACTTCTCCACTGCTACCCTACACTTCTCCACTGCGACCCTACACTCTCCACTGCTACCCTACACTTCTCCACTGCTACCCTACACTTCTCCACTGCTACCCTACACTTCTCCACTGCGACCCTACACTTCTCCACTGCGACCCTACACTCTCCACTGCTACCCTACACTTTTCCATTGCTACCCTACACTTCTCCACTGCTACCCTACGCTTCTCCACTGCGACCCTACACTCTCCACTGCTACCCTACACTTCTCCACTGCTACCCTACACTTCTCCACTGCGACCCTACACTCTCCACTGCTACCCTACACTTCTCCACTGCTACCCTACACTTCTCCACTGCTACCCTACACTTCTCCACTGCGACCCTACACTTCTCCACTGCGACCCTACACTCTCCACTGCTACCCTACACTTTTCCATTGCTACCCTACACTTCTCCACTGCGACCCTACACTCTCCACTGCTACCCTACACTTCTCCACTGCTACCCTACACTTCTCCACTGCTACCCTACACTTCTCCACTGCGACCCTACACTTCTCCACTGCGACCCTACACTCTCCACTGCTACCCTACACTTTTCCATTGCTACCCTACACTTCTCCACTGCTACCCTACACTTCTCCACTGCTACCCTACGCTTCTCCACTGCTACCCTACGCTTCTCCACTGCTACCCTACGCTTCTCCACTGCGACCCTACACTCTCCACTGCTACCCTACACTTCTCCACTGCTACCCTACACTTCTCCACTGCGACCCTACACTCTCCACTGCTACCCTACACTTCTCCACTGCTACCCTACACTTCTCCACTGCTACCCTACACTTCTCCACTGCGACCCTACACTTCTCCACTGCGACCCTACACTCTCCACTGCTACCCTACACTTTTCCATTGCTACCCTACACTTCTCCACTGCTACCCTACACTTCTCCACTGCTACCCTACACTTCTCCACTGCTACCCTACGCTTCTCCACTGCTACCCTACGCTTCTCCACTGCTACCCTACGCTTCTCCACTGCTACCCTACGCTTCTCCACTGCTACCCTACACTTCTCCACTGCTACCCTACACTTCTCCACTGCTACCCTACACTTCTCCACTGCTACCCTACGCTTCTCCACTGCTACCTTACGCTTCTCCACTGCTACCTTACGCTTCTCCACTGCTACCCTACACTTCTCCACTGCTACCCTACACTTCTCCACTGCTACCTTACGCTTCTCCACTGCTACCCTACACTTCTCCACTGCTACCCTACACTTCTCCACTGCTACCCTACACTTCTCCACTGCTACCCTACACTTCTCCACTGCTACCTTACGCTTCTCCACTGCTACCTTACGCTTCTCCACTGCTACCCTACACTTCTCCACTGCGACCCTACACTTCTCCACTGCTACCCTACACTTCTCCACTGCTACCCTACACTCCTCCACTGCTACCCTACACTTCTCCACTGCTACCCTACACTCCTCCACTGCTACCCTACACTTCTCCACTGCTACCTTACACTTCTCCACTGCTACCCTACACTTCTCCACTGCTACCCTACACTTCTCCACTGCTACCCTACACTTCTCCACTGCTACCCTACACTTCTCCACTGCTACCCTACACTTCTCCGCTGCTACCCTACACTTCTCCGCTGCTACCATAAACTTCTCCACTGCTACCCTACACTTCTCCACTGCTACCCTACACTTCTCCGCTGCTACCATAAACTTCTCCACTGCTACCCTACACTCTCCACTGCTACCCTACACTTCTCCACTGCTACCCTACACTTCTCCACTGCTACCCTACACTTCTCCACTGCTACCCTACACTTCTCCACTGCTACCATAAACTTCTCCACTGCTACCCTACACTCTCCACTGCTACCCTACACTTCTCCACTGCTACCCTACACTTCTCCACTGCTACCCTACACTTCTCCACTGCTACCCTACACTTCTCCACTGCTACCCTACACTCTCCACTGCTACCCTACACTTCTCCACTGCTACCCTACACTTCTCCACTGCTACCCTACACTCTCCACTGCTACCCTACACTCTCCACTGCTACCCTACACTTCTTTACTGCTATTAGCTCTGCTGCTTCGACTCCTACATCCTCTGTCTCCTCCCGGGCGCGAACTCCCGTCTCCTCCAAAAACCCCTCTCTTTATCCCCGAGCCAATTCATCTTCAATTCATCTTCAATTCATCTGGGGCATCCCACGCAACGCCACTCGCCCCCAGCCCGGGCTGGCACCTGACACGTTTTTTCCGACAATGCGGCGCCACTCAGCGACAACAACAACCTCTCGGCCAATCAGCGCCCTGCGTCCTTAATTACTCCCTGCCACCTGCTACCGTCGCGCGGCCCCACATCTCGACAACAACAACAACCAGCCAATCAGCGCCCCGTGTCCTTATTTGCTCCCTACTCGTCTCCAGCCCTCTTCTCACGCCAAGCAACAGCAACACCTCGATCTCGTCTGCTCCCACTGTACTCCCTGCGCGCGTACACCGACTTCAGCATGTGACGCGTACTTTCAGGCACTACATATGTGGTGTGTGTGTGTGGAACTTCTTTCGCACCGTACGTAGGCAACCGTGCAAATGGCAGGTACGGAGAGGTGGCGCCAAAGATAAAACAATTGAATTAAAGCTTTCGTGACTGCAGCTGTCTCCCCGACAGACCTGGTCTTTACCTGAGGACGGCTGCTTGCGTTGTGGCCGAAACGTCGTGAGAATTATTTTATTATGTTTTATTTTTTTTATTACTTCCCTTCTACGTGACTTTACCGAAAGAAACAAGAAGATAAAACAATTGATTGACAGTCGAAAATGTGTGAGTTATAATCATCGTTGAGGTTTGCTTTGACGCGACTATCTAGCACGGTGATGATGATGATGATCGACAAAGTGTCTGTGGAGAGGGGGCTTGGACAAAATGCAACATTTGGTACAATTGAGCGATGGGCATTTGAGCCTTGGCCTCACGTACACAGGGAGAGGGCGAGAGCCAGACTAGAAAGCACGGCAGACGGATTGTTACCCGTTTTTTTATTTAGCGGTTAACATTGATTGGTTTGAAGTTTGTTTAATATCGACAGTGCCATGCCCCACCCCCCACCCTCCAGCCACTCTGAGTTTATGTCTGCCATCCTCTTTAAAACAAGATCACGCCATGGGCTGGCACCAACTTACACTCGTAGTTAAAATATCAAGAAATTCACTCCCCGACAAACAAACAAAAATAACCCCAATCTGTCCAATAAATGAAAAGTAGGAGCTGTATTTATTTATTCCACTGCTATAGATAAAATATGAGTTGTCCGCTTAGGAATTTGACTGGCTCATATGCTCGATAGGGTGCGTGTGGGGAAATTAAACGTAATTGGCTTCCAAGTATTTTGATGTACATATAAAAAAGTGCTCATGCAGCAATTGCAAACATCTCCGGTTGCCTATTCATCACCCCCAGACGGGTGTTCTCATTTATTTTGTGGCTTTGAAAACTGGCGGCGATCGCTGTGTGGGGTGCAGAGGGTGGCGGATCTCCAATTAACTCGCGTTGCACAACGAAGCGCACCTCCAAAGGAGCACGTTTCACTACGTATGGTAAAGTTCAACATACGTACATGCAAGCGTCCGGAGCTCTGCCGAACTTACGATTGTGCCAATGTGCCCGCGTGTGTTTCAGCTCAGCGCTGACATGGAGCCACGCGGGGGTGGTCCAGAGGGGACCTCTGACGAAAGGGAGAAATCCGTGCGGGTGAACATTTGCAAGGTCACCTCTGAGAAGGAGATGAGCGAGAAGAAGCGGGCAGACGCCGAGAGAACGCTCGGCAAACTAAAGGAAGGTGAGACCTGCATTGGCGCTGTGCAGAGATGTTAACTGCCTCGCCAGGTATGCGGGAGGTCGTGGGTTCGATTCCAACCCTGACTCTATATTTGGAGTTTGCGTGTTTTTCTCCCTGAGATCACGTAGATTTTTCTCCGGGTCCTCCTGTTTTTACCTCCACGTTCAGAATCAACATGCGTTTAAAGTATTTGGCTGCTATAAATTCCCACGTGAACGGCCACTTAGTTGAGCTATCATTTGTGGCAAGGTCCCTTTTTAAAAAATAGCTATATAGCTCAGTGGCTCTTACCTGGTAAAATAAAAAAAGTTGATTAAGTCTAGTCTCGACATTCTCACCTCGAGTTTGTTCACAAGCTACAGATACAGCACAACACCTGCCAAATACGCTATTTGATTACCTGATGAGCAATTAGATAAAGATTCCAATGCAGCGCCCACTTGAAAAAAGGGTTCTTGAAACTCAATCAACATTTTCTGGATACATTTTTGACGTTATTTATAATGTGTCAATTGGGGTGAAACGTTTCGCGCACTTCACTACGGACTTGGTGACCCAATTTCAATTCCCAGCAGCAGTGGCAAGTGGTGTCTGGAACAGTCCTTGGTCCTCCCTTCACCAAGCTACACTGCCCAGCTTGGTGAAGTGAGGTCAAACAACTCCCAAAGACAGCATGGGGAGGCCTTCATGCAGCCGTTGATTGACAAAGGGCTGGCAATTTCTATTTCTACGAACATATATTTTGTAATTCACCTGGGCGGCACTTTAGTTAGAGCCATTGACTCATGATGGGAATTGTGTGAGTGAAAATGTCAATCAGCTTTTGACTCAACCCATCACCTCCCTGGGGAGATGATGGCTTGAGTCAATATATACCGGTCTCTGAGAAGTCAACCACATATCTCCTGTTGAGTGATTGACCTCTATTATTATTGGAATGTTCAAGTTACACCACTTGCTCAATACGACCGCCGAGACGACTGCAGCAACTCGCGTGAGAATTGGAAATATTTTAAAGTTTTAACTTTCTTTTTTAACACGTGGAACTCACTTAACTGACAGCGAGCGAGTCACCACCAGGAGGTTTCTTAAATATGTTCCCTAAAATAACGTTGAGGTGTGTCCATGCGTGCTGTGACCCACAATGGCCCGCAACAACACGTAATGAACGTGGACACCACATTGCCTTTTTGCCGTTGGCCAAGTCCCCATCATTAAATGGAGCACCCTTGTCAATAACATTTGATAATGCAGCAGTGCTCGTTTAACAAGCCTGCCGCATGCTGAACTGTCCCAGAAGGTGGAAACTAGTCCATAGTTTGCGTGCTTAAACAAACGCTGCTTGATCATATTTCCCTGTGAAGCTTATAGGTCAATGACTAAAAGTAATGTGTAATGTTTAGGTGGAGACGTCGAATGGAGGCCTTGATACGTATACATTGGTAAATTGCAGGATCGTTTTAGTGAGTGTGCGTGTTTGTTCTGTAGGAGTGTGGAATTTGCTCATGAAAATGGACTGCAACTTGGAAGAGCTCAAGCAAGGCTTGGCTTGGAAGGAAGGAGTCACAGACCAAAACATTGCCGCCTATCTTATCCTGATCAAGCAAGAAGCCTCGCGGCTTCTCTCTGCCCGTGATTACCTGCAGTCAAAGGTTGAAATTTTCCACCCGGAACGCGATTCTCTTCTTGCATGTAGCAATTCGTTCAGGAGCTAAATGCCAATATCGAGGTCTGCTCGCCACGAGATGGCTTCAGGAGAGAGTTCGTATAGTTTCGTGCTATTCATCAGACTACAATGGTTCCCTCTGCGGTCCATAGTTTGTGTTTCGTGGCCACAGTCGCACAGCTGTGGCTTGTCTCTAATGCTCAATTTATGAAGGAGATGTGCACATCGGCTCGTTCATGATGTTCTGATGCGGTTGATGTTAACCCAACTGTCTTTGAGGAATGTCAAAATAAGGAGGTGCGATGTTGGGATGTGGAATGAGGTTTTATTTTGGACGCCTGCCTTTCTCTACGCGCTTCATCAGCATTCTTCTGTATCTGGATGACGACCTGCGGTTTACCCATTTCTACTGCTGAGTGGACAGTGGCAGCGAGGGAGGGGGTGGGATTAGGCGAATAAAATAAAATAAAATAGTTGCCCAGTGTCTCCACTGCCGTGCTAGGAGATTGAACCTGCAACTTCTCGATTAAACTGAAAAAGTGTGTTTAGTTGTGCTGTCCTTCCCCCGCACCTCCGATCAGCATGATTGGCCACGTGCCGAGAGGTTTAACCTACATAAGCACGTACATAAAGTGGCACGAAGCTATTTGATTAGACCATCCAATGTGCTTTAAGCAACGAGAGGTGGAGTCAGCAGTGCTCGCAATGAAAATGATTCCACACGGTCATGAGTATTCATTCCAGCGTAGACAGCTAACGTTGCTAATTCGCCCGTAAAAGACGCATGGGGAAGCTGTTGAATTTGAACCGTCAGCTCGTGAAAGAAAAAAAGAAACTCGTGAAAAAAAGTACAGGCTACCCAGCACTTTCATGAAATGTTAGGTCCTAATTATGATGAGTGGCAATTAATTCATCATCACGGCTGGCACAATTGTGAATATTTGCACAACTTGGCTTGTGATGTCTGGCTGGGTGGTGCTGTGGTTGGAGCACCCAAATCACACTCAGGAGGATACACATTTATACTGTAGGCTTTCACGATAATTATATGTTTTTATATATATATATAAAACTTTGACGGCTGTTTTTGATGATGAATGTGTTCAGTTTTCTGTTCATTGTTATTGTGCACTAATTCCAACGCAGCAGTATTACCACAAGGCATTTCATTATTAATAAGAACGATACAAGATCATATTCAAGTTAGGCATCAGCTCAGTCCATAATCTCCCCAGGGTAATTAAAATAAGTACCAATTAGTTATCCTTGAGAAGGACACCTTGGAAATTTGGAATCCCCACACTCAGCCACAAATTAAGATGAATGGCATCATTTCGATTTAAAGCTTTCGTGACTGCAGGGATTCATCTTCTTGGTTCTTTCTGTGAAGTCACGTAGAATTGAAATAATAAAATAATAAAAATAAAACATAATAAAATAATTCTCACGACGTGTCGGCCACAACGCAAGCAACCGTCGTCAGGTGAAGAACAGGTCTGTCGATAAGACTTCAGACTCTGTCGTGAGAATTATTTTATTATGTTTTATTTTTTATTATTTTATTATTTCAATTCTACGTGACTTTACCGAAAGAACCAAGAAGATGAATGGCATCATATTGCGCTGATCATGAGCTATGCTATAAACTACTTTTATTTTACCAGGTAAGGCCCACTGAGCTGTATAGCTCTTTTTCTGAAGCGACCTGGCCACAAATTATAACTCAACGAAGTGGTTTATCACGTGTAAATGTATAGCAGCCAAATATTCTAAATGCGTGTTGATTATAAACGTGGAGGGAAAGACCAGAGGACCCAGAAAAATCCACACAGGGAGAGAGAGACATGCAAACTCTAAATATACAAACGTTAGGGTCGGTACCAGAACGCACGACCTCCTGTTGCCAGGCGAAGTAGTTAACATTTCGCCACCGTGGCGCCCATAAACGCACATCGTAGCTGAGTCAGGATTTACACGTCCCACTGAGTTAAAGCCAGGTTCGTAAGTAAGGGGATGTCACCACGGTGTTGAAACAATAGTGCAAGTTTCTTAAAACCAGCTGCGTCCTTCCACCAAGAAGTGCAAATGTGTGCGCCACTGTTAGTGAATCCGGCAGGCTGTGTGTGTTGGGGTAAATTGTGCGTCCTCCCACCCCTTCCGAGATGACTGATAATTCTGGAAGAGAAGGCCAAATACCCTCTGTAGAAGATTTATAGCGCTCCCTCTAGTGGTTGTCCTTCTGCCAGCAGGGACGTGAGTAAGGAATTGCAGGCTGCACCTGTACGTGCCATTTTTTTTTTACCTTACAAAAAACCACGTGGGGTAGGGGCCTTTAAATCGCCGTCAAAACATTTAGGTACAAAGCCCGGCCATCGATTTACGCGGCGGCTCATCATCCCTGCGAGATTGGTTACGAAAAAAAACAACAACAGAAAAACACTCGTCAAAAGTATTAGACAAACATGCCAATGCAGGCCCCTCTGGCCAGAGTGATAGTGAAGGACAAAAATACACTCTAAATAAGGGCTCGAGAGAGCTTTCTAAAACTCTCTCTAGTGGAGGCCCTTCCACCAGCAGTCGTGCGAGCAAACAATTGCAGGGTTGCACCAAGACCTTTGCCTGGTGTAGGTTATGGCTGAATGTGCGGCCTATTCAGAACAGAAATCCCCAGCAGCGTTCGGGCACCTAATCACGTTAATGCGGCGCTCCTCGGGGGAATGACTGTGGACGCGTCTGTTAAGCGACGTGGATTTGAAAGCGGCATCCTTGAGATGTTGGTTTTTAAGGTCACTATTGACATCGGTGCTCTTTTCAATTCGCCACGGAAAATACTGCTGTCGTCTTAACCGAACGTCCGCGCAGATAAAGGCAACGGAACCTTTGGGAAAATTGGACACAGACAACGCCAGGCCAGTCAAGAATTCGCTCTTGGATGTGTACACAATGGAACTCCCGAGCACAACGTAAGTGCATGATTGCCACACTCTGGGTTGATGTTACGCGTGGGTGGCAATTGCTCAAAATCCATCGGAAATTTCGCTCGAATTATTTTCCTTCTGCTTCTTTTCCCCATCTATCTCGTATACTGACCGAGTAATGTACTTTTTGTCAGCTCGGTATTGCAACAACAGAAATCCCCTTGTGATGTCGAGCCCCCAATACCTGTTCTGTGTCGTAATTGGTGAGGAGTCGGCCGTATGGCGAAGCCGGCTGATGCCCTTGGTCAGAGCACAGAGCCGGCAACCACTCAGATGTGGGTTTCAAACTCTGACAGCAGCCGGCTGTGATCGTGAAAACTGGGTTTTAAAGGGGCAAGTGATCTGATTGTTGTCAGTCGAATCGCCAATTACTGATCCTAATGGCGGTACCCCAGGGTACCAAATCATACAATATGGCCGAGGCAATGAAATATTTTATGGCTGGGACACTTTTTTTCCTAGGGGTGTACTTAAACTCCACGACTGGGGTACCAATCAATCCGAAATCGGTGCCACTCCGCGATGTCGAAACGCAGCGAGGACGATTGCGCCGAACCCCTGAACGCTCGCGGTACGCACCGTAGTGGTGGTGCATCGTGTACAGCTCGTCGAGATGAGTCGATTGCCGCGTCGCCGACCATCAACAGACTCAAATTGACTGCATCACGGACATTATGCGAGAGCCGGGGTACCGCCATGAGGTTCAACTATAGAATAATAAGCAACTATTATTCCAGTCTCTGTGGGCAAAAAGAAATATATCGAGACAATTCTAGATTTGAAGCTTTCGTGACTGCAATGATTCATATTCTTAGGTTTTTTCGGTAAAGTCACGTAGGTAAAAATCATTAAACGTCGTGATTTTTATTTTTATTTTATTTTACTTTTTAATGTTTTTTACCTACGTGACTTTATACCGAAAAAACCTAAGAATATATCGAGACAATTCAAGCTCGGAGAATCCTGATCAATTGTTACACGTTTAGTGGTCATGCTATCTGGACATTTATTGACAAGTTGTGGGACTTCGCTGACCGAAGGATTTGTTAAAGATTGCTCTCTGATGTGGCTTTTTTTTTTGGGGGGGGGGAGTCAAGGGGGGGGGAATAAAATGGTGATAAAAAATTGTACCGTGTCTCTTTTTACCAATTCATCCTCTAGCAAGTCATCACTGCGATGCAATCCTGTTAGACCGTTGCGAATCAGTTTGTGGCAGGTCTACGTGTTGTCAGCACTCTGAAGCATTTCCTGTATATTACACTGCCGCCTCTGTGATTCGATGAGCACTGGGATATGCACGGATATGTGAAAATAGTTCGGTATGTGAACTGGGGAGGGCAGGGGGGGAGAGCTTCAGGGCGGGGGGGGAGGCACATGGCAATATCTATACATACTGACAAACTAACGCCATTTCTTTAGAACATTTTTTTACGGTTAGTTTGCTGTCCTTCCCCAGCACCGCCGATGAGCACGGTTGGACACTACGGTGGGAAATAAGTTAAAAGTCAACGTAGATACGTGGACAAATAACTGCACTGGGTGTGGTCGATGTATTGGTCCGGGCGGATATGTGGCAGTCGGATATGCGATATTGTACAGTTTTTTTTGCACGCAAACACTCCGGTAACATGTGATTCATTCAGTATTCTTCTCTCCCCTCGGTTGCAGACTGGACTGGGACAGTGGGGAATCCAGTGAGGAAGGCTCAGATCTCAAGCCGCTTGAAGTAACGAAGCAATGATGATGCGTTTGCGTCATGTCCCAGCTCTCAAGATTCACAAGACATCACGGCGAATCGCATCCATGCCAACACAAATCTCTATAACTCACTTTGTCCAAATCCGTAAACTGTTGACAGCTGAACTCCAAAGTAATCTTTCGTGATGTTCCGCAGCCAGGAGGTGAACCTCTGTCACCCTCTACAGAGAGCCCTCCAGAGGCTCTTCTCGTGGGGACCCTTCTGCCAGCAGTGGCGTGAGAAAGCAGTTTCAGTGCAGCACCTTTTTACTTATCTTCGTAAAAAACCTCATCGAACCTGAAGACTTTTAATTTTTTGCAGAGGTGCCCACTTTGGGTGATATTTTATCCGAATCAGTTCAGCTGCGACTTATTAAACGGGGAGTGCAGAATGCAGAGAACACCGTTGCGTGGGAGGTAATACTACTGAAAGTCAGTCCAGTCGTCATTTGGACATCTCACCAGACACGATAAAATATGCATGGCCCAGTAACCTCACCACCACAATTGCTGGATTGCAGGCATGCGCCACCGTGCCACAGATATGCTGTGGATTTTGTGGAACACCCCGCCCCCCCGCCCTGCTAATAAATGATGATTCCACACGAGGCAGAGGATGACCAAGAAACAGATGAACCGATGGAGTGAAGCAGGACGCACGAAACGTCGTGATTTTTATTTTGTTTTATTTTACTTTTATTAATTTAATTTTTTTACCTACGTGACTTTACCGAAAAAACCTAAATCCTTGCAGTCACGAAAGCTTCAAATCTAGAATGAATGACATCGGTATGTGAGCGACGGATGGGACTTGATAATAATGATGACGATGATCATCACCATGTTTGCTGATCATCATCATGGACATATGCCCGCCGCTGCAAGAAGTTTCGTGGACATGATAGCCTCTGTAAATTGTCATAACGTGAAATATAACAATAGGCAGTACAGCAAGCAGGGTTCTAACCAATCACGACAGAGACTTAGGGGATCACCTCTTTGTAAATGTCGATTAGCTGTTCGAATTATGGGGCTTTTTTTTGTTTCGGGCGAGCTGTGAACATGATTTAGTCCAACAATGCTTAGCAGTCTTCTTGGTTCTTTCGGTAAAGTCACCAAGATGAATCCCTGCAGTCACGAAAGCTTTAAATAGAGACGATAATGTGTTTTTGTATACTGGATATATATTAGTATAAAACACGCACACGATGGTTTAAATGCACCTGTCAATTCACTGCTTGAGGCGCCACGGAGGCAAGATGTTAGCTACCTCGCCTGGTATGCAGGAGGTCCTGGGTTCGATCCCAGCCCTGACGCTTGCTGTATATTTGGAGGTTGCATGTTCTGCCCGTGGTCGCGTGGATATTTTCTTCCAGGTCCTCAGATTTCCGCTCCACGTTTATAAATGTTCACATGATGAGCCCCTTCATTGAGCTATCATTTGTGACGAGGTCGCGTCTGAAAAAGAGCACGGTTGGCTACGTACGGTGCGAAAGAAGTTCTACATACATATAGCTCAGTGGGAGCCTTACCTGGTAAAATAAAAATTAGTACATCGTAAAAATTAAATTAACATTGGGGCAATATGGGAGGGAGGGGGGTAAGCGTTGAGAGGATTGTTTATTTAATTACAGCCGAGCTCAGGCAATCAATCACTCCTGCAATCCATCACCACCCCACCTCGAGACACAAAGTGCTGACGCCAGTCCCAGCGCGCCCTGCGCGGCAGCTTGGCGTTCCCGCACGCGCGGGGAGGCAGCGTGTTGGCCACGTGGAGACCGTTGGTCCCGTAAGAGCCGATAGGTGAATAACTATAACGTAGAAGGGAAATAATAAAATAATAAAATAGTTATATTATGTTATTTTATAATGTTTTATTTTTATTACTTCCCTTCTACGTGACTTTACCGAAAGAACCAAGAAGATGAATCCCTGCAGTCACGAAAGCTTTAAATCGAAACTACAACGTAGTTTAATGTTGAGGTACGTGTGTGTGTCTTGTGTGTCGTGTTACCACCGTGATCTATGGTAGTGCGTAAATAGATTGCAAAAGTAAAAAAAAACATCGATTTAAAGCTTTCGTGACTGCAGGGATTAATCTTCTTGGTTCTTTCGGTAAAGTCACGTAGAATGGAAACAATAAAAATAATAAAATAAAACAATAAAATTATTCTCACGACGTTTCGGCCACAACGCAAGCAGCCGTCATCAGGTGAAGACCAGGTCTGTCTCCCCGACAGACCTGGTCTTCCCCGACAGACCTGGTCTTCACCTGATGACGGCTGCTTGCGTTGTGGCCGAAACGTCGTGAGAATAATTTTATTATGTTTTATTTTATTATTTTTTTGTTTCCATTCTCCGTGACTTTACCGAAAGAACCAAGAAGATAAAAAACATCGACACGAACATTTAAATTCGAGGATTCAATTCTCCAACACGACCACCTCCACAACCAACCACCATGTCCAATGTTCACGTTGTCTCAAAGTCCAGAATGAACGTCTACCCGTGCTGTTGATGCAGATGCGATCACAATTCAATTCATTCTCATAGATTGGTTGCAAGTGTGTTCATTTTTTTTAACAACAACATTTCTGATGCAGGAATATGTTTCTTCTTCTTCGTAAGGCTGATGTTGGTGTCGAGCCACAATTATACATTTACACTGAGGTGGTTGAGCCAGGTGATTGCGTCATGAGTAGCAGAGTGCATCGGTGTGATGATGCATCATTTGTATTCGCGCCTGCTGGTTATATATTCCACGATCTGCTCTGGGTGACCACAGACGCACACTGACCGGAGTGTTAATTAATGATCTATAATGAATGAGTACATTTGGATAATCGGTTCGGCCCCTCCCTCCCCACTACGTACTGTGGCCACCTGCGGAAAACACAAATTAAATTTCCCTTCGTATTACGATGAAATTTCCACCTAAGTTGTATTATGCAACCAAGCCCCGGCGCATCGAGTCTGAAGGCTGGAAGGTGATGGGGGTCTGTGGCCACGTGTGTGTGTGCGCTTGCTTGCTTGCTTGTGCGTCTGAGCGTATCCTCGTGTGTCGTGTGCGCATTTGTGTGTGAGATCATGCACGCAGAGGGGCCCTCTGTGACCGATATATCCCTGTTCACGGGTGAAATGATTCCGTCCTGGGTGAATTGACGATGCGTTACGCTCCACATATGTTGTGATTAAATTGCGGCACGGGTATTTTTTTTTTCAGTTCAAATTGCTTAAAAATATATAGCGGCTAAAAATGAGTACGTTTAAGTGAAATTCTTCTGCTTTAAAATAACGTCGTGTTTTATTTAAACATTTTCTTTGGTGGTAAATATAATCCAACACGTGGTGTGACTTTTTTATATAAATAAGATGTATTCATCCTTTAAATCGTCAGCTCCTTCGGCTTGTTTCGCGTTTAGAGAGAAAAACAACAACGTGGCTACAATTGAATTTATTTTATGAATAATAACAATTAAAATTAATAATGCACATTCTATCTTAGGATCCCAATGCGCAAGCCATTCCGTGGCATTCAGGATGGCAGCTGAGTCGAGCACTCCACTTGTTCCACCAGTATTGGGAAGCCATCCGAGATATGCGACCCGTTGGTTCACAGCAGAGGTCGCAACCGGGTACCCGATACCCGTACCCTACCCGATACCCGGCTACCCGTACCCGGCCGGGTACGGGTACCCGTTTGCGACCCTGGTGCGGCTGGGTACGGGTAGACCGTGAGTCACCGGTGAGTAACCGTTTGTCACTCATTTCCCAACGTCTTGTCTCTTCTCACAATTCAAGTTCCTAGAATCAACCCACCCACGCCTGCAACATGGCTTCATCCCAGAGGTCGCAATCAGGTACTCGATACCCGTACTCTACCCGTACCCGGCCGGGTACGGGTAGGGTACGGGTACGGCCGGGTACGGGTACCCGTTTGCGACCCTGGTGCGGCCGGGTACGGGTAAGGAATCAAAACCCGTTTGCGACCTCTGGTTCACAGTTTTGACGAGTCCTCGATCTACCATTCGTGGAGGAAAGAAATCCCCAGCACCTCCTCGGTCGTTCCCTGTGTTGCTGGCGCACGGTTGAGAGCGGTCCCCGCTGCCATCGGGGTGGCAGAGAGAAACCAGGGGGCTTCGGTGAGGTCCTTGTTTCGGGCGTCGCTGTTGACCTCACATATTCGCATCCTCGTCGACGTATATTCAATTTCAACACATTTGTTGAGCCGATGAATTGCGTGCTCAATTTTGTCAAGCAACAACTGAGTGACTACTGTGTGACGAACGGAGTTGTTTAGAAATGATTTTATCAATCGTGAAATGTGTACGGCGTTTTAATAGTCCTGTGTGTAATTTACGTCGGTCGAAAATAATCTAAATTCAAATGAACGTATTGTATTTCAAATCGGTGTTGAATAAACCAATCGGAAATCAAAGTGTCTCCCTCATCATATAAGAAGTGTGGCAGTGCTCATAGAGTCAATGGTGGAAATTGAATATTGCCATTACGGGGCAAGTATATCCAAAGGATGGGCAATTTATTATTATTACACGCTTTTTATTAACTCACTCTGTTGTTGTTGTTGTATCCTCATGTTGTAACTCAATTTTAACCCACTTCCCAATGTGGCATCGACTGCAAACTTGGTATACTCATGTCATACTGATGACAATACCATATTCTATCACTACAATTTTAATAAATATATTTTTTTACATTCTTTTTCATATGTTATGTTTCGGCTTGGGTCTAATTGTCCACGCTCAACTGACGTTGGCTGTAAATCACCACGGCCCCTTACGTTATGGCAAGCTTCGGGGCCACTTCCTGGAGTCGTGAAGTTCTTCCATTACTAGTACGGTACATTTCATTAAAGCGTGTTTTAAAAAAGTTTTTTTAAAACATTACTTATTTTATATGTATAGAGCGCCTTAGCTCAAGGCGCTTTACATAGTTTGAAAAGCAGAAACAACAATCGAGTGATGTCGATGGCAGAGGCGTGGAATGGCCTAGGAATGAATGACCGGAGCAGAGGGCACACGAGGATCACTAAAGAGCTCTATGGGAGCGACAGGGAGGAGTGGAGGGGCGAGGGGAGGGAAGAGGAAGAGCCGAAGAGGATATGGTAAACTAAATACGTGAATCTTCTTGGTTCTTTCGGTAAAGTCACGTAGAATGGAAATAATAAAATAATAAAAATTAAACATAATAAAATAATTCTCACGACTCTGTCTCCTCGACAGACCTGTTCTCCACCTGAGGACGGCTGCTTGCGTTGTGGCCGAAACGTCGTGAGAATTGTATTTTATTATGTTTTATTTTTATTATTTTATTATTTCCATTCTACGTGACTTTACCGAAAGAACCAAGAAGATGAATCCCTGCAGTCACGAAAGCTTTAAATGTCTTACTCATGCCAAGACTGGTGGAACAGCCTCCACGAGTGGGAAATGTAAAGAGCCCGTCCAGAGGGCATTTTATTATTTTGCAGAGACTCACTTCCTACTCGTAAGCTGGTTTTCCACACCATTGGAGCCTCCTTTGCCGGTAGCAAAATATGATTATTGTTTTTTAGCCTTTTATCTGGCAACACAACTGACACCTTTTTAAAATGCTTACCCCGAGCTCGCATACTCTGATGGTGCATTGTCTTTGAGTAGTGCGCCTTTTGCGTCATCTGGTCCAACATCATGTGAGACTAGGCTCTAAGAAAAGCTGTCTCAATCAATTTCAAGGACAGTGCATGCATTATCAGAGTTGTGTTTTTTGTTTTCATTCCGACTGCAGGTATTGTGGTCAATGCAAACATGACTCCTTGTAAAAAAAAGGTGTCAGTTTTGTTGCCAGATAAAATGGTTTTCCACAACAAATACAAAATGCCACTACTACTAATGTTCTCAAACTCATAATTAAAAGATTGGTTATGAAACGAATGCATTCAAACAAAGCCCATCGCTGTCCTATTCAAACGTGTACGGAGAAATACTCCTCATCTCCATCCGAGCCGTGAGGAGTGGTGGTGGCTCTCGGCATAAGAAGACTAAGCAAAAGTTGTGGGGCCCCAAGTAGAAGCAAGGAGCCCCCAGGATTCATGAAATAATGAGTTTACAAGAAATAAGCTGTCGCATTTAAATTGTAATAAATATATAATGATTTCAGGAGTGTTAAATCATTCTCGTCACAATAACAATAGCAAAAGTTATTGTTAATTAATTAATGCATTATCTTCATTATAATAATTATTATTATTTAGCCACAAACGTGATTTCCCAGCATAAATTTCTGTTGAGGGGTCTGTCTGGGCTAGCAACAACCACTTGCCCCCGAGCCAGCAGCGGCAATTTCCACATTCCTATGGTATATGCGAGTCTCTGCATAAAATGATGACGACCCGTGGCTTTCCAACAATGCATTGCATAGGCATCCGTGGTGATGATGATATTAATTTGATTCCCAGCTGTGAAGTAAACTTTCAAATTGAAAGCCAAAGCTTTAACTCAGAATCAGATTCTTTCAGAATCAGAATATTTATTGAGACTGCAGGAGAAATCCGAAGAGCTATGAAGCTCTTTTTGTTCGCAGATGTCCAGTACGGACGGGTAAGCTAGTTACAAAATGCACCATGACCACCATCCAGCAGGATGGACTACGATGCTTTAATTAGAGCGTTTAAACCTCCACAAGGGAGAGGCACAGAGGCTTCATAAATCCCGTCAACTTTCTCCAGTAAATTAATTTACACACAGAAATATTGTCGAAAAATGTACACCGTTCAGGAGGCATGTACAACTGCTTTGTATATATGTATGTTAAACTTCTTTCGCACCGTACGTAGCGAACCATGCTAATCAGAGGTGCGGGGGAAGCACAACAAACAAAATACAAAAAGCAGTTCTAAATAACTTAGTGTTAAATGTCGTTGCAAAAGTGCATAGCTCCGGTGGCTTCCTAATATCGGAAGGAGGAGCGTTCCAGACGGCCGCAGAAGTGCATCTGAAGGTACAATGGGTAGCCAAAAGCCGGTGCGAGGATGACGCGGATTTCGCGTGATG